TGCATTAGATGGATTATCTTAGGATTTATGGAGACTGTGTCCTGCCCTTTATTACATAACAAACAAATTTAATCTGCGGTAACAATTCTCATAAACCTTGACAATATCTTAGAACACATTTTTTATAAACAGTAGGGAAGATTTACTGCATGTTTTAATAAGGTGTATGAACCAAAGTCCTGTGAACTGGTTCAATCTTTCCACTTAGCCAGTGAACTTTGGATTATGCTTAGGTGTTTCCCTGGAGAATTGCTCAGTGTTTTTTGCTTCTTTACTGCTTACGTTAATAGCCGTGGGGATATGTCATTACTTTTGATTTAAATGAGTACAGAAAAGGAAGAGTTAGAACTTTATTACTGATCTCACACCTCGTTCTCAGGTAAATTTTATTAGCTGAAACCCTTGACCTCGCCAGAGGAGTCAGTACCTGGGCACATGACTGGTTCTCTAGATTTGTAGTATCAGGACAGTAATTCTGATCAGGAAGTAATCAGGATCTAAAACTATGGTAGATGCTATTATCCAGCTATACAACTCCTCTATTAAGTAGTATCTCATGCTGATAGATTTTGGCTTATTATGCTAATAATTAACCTTGTTAATTAAAACTGTGTCAGCAAGAGCTGGCTGGACACAAAACAATTTATTTCTCTATTTTTAAAAAGTTTTTCTTTTTTATGTCTTCAGACATCAAAAAATGATCTGAACAATTCTTTCTGGATGGAAATTCTTACAGTTCCTTTCCATATTGCCTTAGTTTTGCCCAGGTCAGAGTTAATTTTTTGCAGTAGCTGAGGGAGCATTACTGAAGGAGAATGACAGGTTATTCCATCTCACCTCATTTCATTGCCAGGAGCAGGGGTAAGGGACTGGCTTCTATAGGGGACAGGGCTTCTGATTGAAAAAAACATGGCAAAGCATTGTCTGCCATGGTTCATTGTCTTGAGGATCCCTAGTGACCATCTCTGCATGTGAATCACCCTCTGTATACCTTCATTATTCATATTGTTGCTATTACTGTTCATTTTCTTATCTCATTGCTGTTTCCAGTATATTGTTCTTTTCTCAACCTGTGATCTTCACATTTTCTGCTCCAATTTTCAATTTCCTCTGCTGAACCAGGAAGGGGCAGGGGAAAGGAGGAGCAGGCAAGTGTCAGTGTGGTTTGGAAGAGTCTCAGTGGGTGCACTGAACTGTGAAGCACCATTCCTAAACCATGATACATATTATTTTATAAATTACTGACACAACTATGAATGTAATTATTCATTCTTACCAGTGCATAGTCCTCCTGTGACAGAAATCTTAGACATAGGCTCCCACACAATGGATAAATCTGTTGTTGCTCCCAATTTAAATATAACTGAACAGAGACAAAAAGCCATGATGCCAACTATCTTTTTATTCTGTGGATAATGCAGCAGTGTTCCATCTTTCTCACTGTGTGAGTGACACCTTAACAAAGAAGCTATTTCTCATGGAACATTTCACATGTGCTTCACATTTTGAACAACCCATAGGAAACACAGTAACTGGCTGAGTTGTAAAGTAATAACAGGAGTGTGTTTAAAAAAGACCTTATGCTATCAGCTGCAAAGCAGGAGGCACACCACAATATGAGCAACAGGTCATAGTTTGGTTTCATTGCTACAGAGGATCCCCTAAACTGAGAAATAGAACACAAAAAACTCATTGGTCATTTTGCCTGCAATTCTTTATACTTAGAAGGTGTTTCATTGCAGCTCAGGCAATGACCAGCCTTTTGCAATTTTAAGATGTCTGGGCCAGATGTACAAAGGATGTTTATGTTTCTGCCTTGCAGCCTTAATGCCTCCAGTGAAGCTATAATATTGTATTATGGCACCAACCCCTTTGACATCCCTTTTACAAGGGATGTCCATTTAATGTATTTTTAGAAAATGCAGACAGATTTACAGAAAGTTGTGTCCTAAATTTCCTTACATCATTAGGGAAAGATGCAGGCGGTTTTGGGTTTTTTTAGATGAGGAAACCACAAAGAGAATGGTAAGAGGCAAAAAGCACGGCAAGAGTCCATTACAAAACCATAATGCAGTGTTTTCACTAAGACTGCATTTTCAAGGCTATTTTATGAAGGGTAGAAAGGAAGGAGAAGGGAGAAAATACCTCAAATAATTAAAAAATACCATATATGGAAAGTACTCATGGAGGATTTATGAAAAGGCAAAGAGGATGGAAAGCTAAAATGAATTGGCTCACAAATGACTCAAAGAAGTGGTTACCAAACCACAGAAAATTAGCTTGCCCAATTCATGTTGCTGCTGACAGTGTAAAAGGTCAATGGCTCTGTTTTAAATGAAATCTCCACAGTGACAAAAGTACAAACCCTTAGCTCAGGTAAAGAAAGAATGTTAAAAATTTTAATTGCAATATTTTGTTTTTAGAAATTTAAGCTACAGTAATTTATAAGCAGCGAACAGGCAGTTTGTTTTCCTTTTTTATATATACACACTTTTTTTTCCTACAATGAATGTGTATTTCCTTCTACAGTGCCCTGTGATCTATTTCATTTTATTTGCTCTCAGTTCTCAGTGTTAGGCTTTCTGTCTTTCAGCTGCCAATAATCTGGCTGTGGTTTGTAGCTATAATAAATGGAAACTGACAGACCTTGGTGTCATCCACCTCAGATAACATGATCCTATTAAATCTAAGCCAAATTAACTGGATGACAACCCTTTGCCCTTGATACTTATATGGACAAGAGAGAGATTTGATGCTAACAATACCAATGTGGATTAGTTTAGAGTGGAAATCTTCTGCTCTCCATGTGTAATTGATTTGGGATTCAGAAGAATTCTAACATGATGTTAAAGAGTGTGCGCTTTTTAGCCATGCGCTCTCAGTGTACTGAACATGGTATTTGATTAGTAAAATGACAATAGAATAAAATGTTACAGGGAAAGCTTCTCCTGTGTGAGTATTTTATTCTAATATGGGAATTGCTAGTTTTGGGGGCACACCTGAAATGCTACAGTCAAAAGAGGCAAATAATTCATGCAACTTATTGTCAAATGGCCACACTGATGATGAAAGTCTTGGAGCTACTACTTCTAACAATCAAAAAATCCTGTAAAACAATGTCCACGTGGATTTCTTCAATAATAAAAATTCTTCATCGATTGAAACAGGACAACTTCTTTCCTCATGTAAGATCATCCACTGGACTTGATGATCCTTGAGGGTTCCTTCCAACTCAAAATATTCTGTGAAAAAGCTTTTTACTAAGTGTTCCTCAGCCTGATATAGATTTACCTATGTGAAAGTACAGAACCTGAAACTCTAGTTGGCTTTTTTCATTGTCCCAACAACGTGGAAGCAATACAGCTGAAAAAAACTGTGGGCTTAAAAACCCCAACAATCACAAAGAACCTTAAAACCAAAGAGACTTTCCCAGTTTTTTGTTGTGCAAAAGTAGTACTGTATTGGAATTAGTACTTACTGATTGATACATTTACTGAAGTCTTCATACATTTTTCATTTCTTTTTCTCTGCATTAAAATTACTTCTGATAAAATGAAATGAAATGGAAGGGAATTGAAATCCAGGACTGGCTCCAGGTTGTGATGCAAAAAGCTTTGCCTTTTTTGTTTTGTTTTGTCTTGTTTTGTTTTACTGAGGAGGGGTAAGAGAAGAATGAAAAGGCTTTTTTTTTTTTTGTAATTTGGGAAAATCTGCCTCACAAATCCATCTGATGAGCATGAGATAGCGAATATTACTAGAGAATTGCATGATAACATTTAATTGTTCTTCCTTTCTCCTTCTGGAAACTTTTAGTGTCAACTCAGGCCAGTAAATGAATTGAGTATTTTCACAGTTTTGGTCAACTGAGTATTTGAGCAGTATTTGAGCTTTTATAAGTAGAAAGGATTCAGTTGTTGCTATCACAGGATCTGATTTCTGAACCCATCACCTCCAACCTGATGGGTGTTTCTGTGGCAGGTTGCTGTACAGGAGAAGATGTTTCTGCAGAGCATCTCCAGAGAGAGGGCTCTGCCATTACACGTCAATCCTCTGCTCCCTCTGAGCCCTCAACCCTGGCATGCATCCCATTCCCACCAAAACTGGTTTACACTTGAGAAACCTCTGCATGGACACAAATTTGCCAGGGAAAGAGTTGCCATAAAAGAGAGAGCAACACAAGATTTGGACTGAACAGCTCTTTTGCTGCCCTGCAAATCTGCAAAGTACCTGCAAAGCTGCAAAAATTTGACAAGAGATTAACGACCAAAACAATAAGGGCTATTGATCTGGCATCTGCTTCTATTAGTCCAGCTTGCACCTCATTTCTAACACACTGGGGACACACTACCGTACATTGAGAAGGAGGCAGTGGAAAGTAGGAGCATTAGGAGTAAAGGAGAATTTGTCTTCATGCCTCCCTACACTGAGGACCAACGTTAGAAAATTTTTTCATTTTTTTCATTTTGCCAAACAAGGCATCAGGGCATTGGAGATTAAAAAAACATTATCAAAATGCTGATTCTGAATGACAGTGGAAAAAGAAGCCATGTCAAGTCTATACAGTCCAGCCCTCTACTCAGAGGAATAAAGCAAAGTGTGTTCCCTGCCCTCCACTGTGGGTCACAATCAGGTACAAACCAAAGATTTGAATATTGAAGAAAACAGTTTTGCTGGGTTAGTCCTGTAATTTGAGCTACCTAATTGTAGCAGATGCAGCTGCTATTCTTAATAAAACTTTTCTTCATTTTATTAGGAAAAAAAAGCCTATGGAAGAGACTCTCTGGCTCTGAAGATTGCAAAAAAAAATTACCCTCTTTTTGAGATTTTTAGATAAAAACATTGTGATGAGTGGAAATGCAGAGATGATGGGTACCTGCTTATTCAGGCAAATCAGCATCTTAAACCTACAGAAATACTTGCACAAAACAAGCAGGATTTACCAGCCTCTAAAAAGTACATTAAAAACCCACCAGGTTAAAACCAAACAAGAAAATGAAAGGTTTTAGGAACATACTGCATTTATTTTGGTCCCACAATTACTAACTTTGTAACAAACCCCCAGAGTTTCACTCCTTAAAGTGCTTCAAACTCCATTTATATTATTATTATTATTATTACTTTTAACATCAATGTACATTTCTGTATAAGCAACAATCCAAAGTCATTTATATTTTTATAAAATTCTTTATATTAATGGATCAAGTTCACTCTCAAGATAGCCAACATTAAGGAAAATTTCCAAAATTAAGACACTGGAGTTACTCAAGTCCCTGCTCTTGTGGGTAAGAGCAGAATTTGGCCAGGAGGGTATATGCAATTATATGCATATATCTCAAAAGGCACAACGGATTACCTCAGAAATCAATAACATTTAAAAGGAAGTTTGTCAAAGCAAATACTTTCCGTTTGCTTTGGCCCAGTCCACATCCAGAGGATGCATTTGCTCACCGGCTGTTCAGAACAAGCAGCCTGATGCTGATCAGCAAAGGGGAATCCACACAGTTCTTCAGCAGGCACAGCCCAATGTGTGCACAACTGTAACAGCAGGGTCACTTCTCTGGGCACCCGTGCAAATTCACTACACCATGAACCTCTGAAATTCTCCTGGCAGACACATGTTTGTCATTGATGGTAATATTCCAAAGACAGCCAAAAAATGGGTCTTCAACTGGAAGCCACGGGGTGTCCAAATTTGCTACAAAAAAACAAGGTGGAAAGACCAAGTTAATAAGAATTATTTTAGAGAATATTAATTATGGCAAGGCTTTCAAAAGAGGGTAAATGATATAGGAGTACATGATTGGATGGGACCTTTGTTTTGGAAAGGAACAAAAAATAAAAAATAAGAAGCAATAATATTACCTGGAATTTTGCCAAAGTAGAGTGGCTGATACACACGTCTAGGAGAAGAGGGTTGAAGTTCAGTGGTATAGTTACTCTGTGTGCCCACCTGTAGATGCACTGTGTTCTTCTTCTGAGAGACTGCAAAGAAGCAGGTAAATGAGAACTCTTTCTCAACTTTATTAAGGAATCAGCTAGATATGGCACTAATTTTAAAATTAAGGCACAGAAAAAACATTTTTTTTTTTTTTAATCAGAGTCAGACTGACCAACCTAGGTCATATGGGGCTTAACAGAGCCTACCAAGAAGACCTTATGTAAAGCCTTTAATTAACACAAGACACATCGTTCTCAAGAGTACTGTCATATGAAACAGAAGTGAAATGATTAATAAAAATTTGGAGCTGCAGTGCTCTGTGCCCCCCACCCCTTCAAAGCTTCAGAAGAAATGGTAAGTACAATGTACCTGCAATGGTATGCCACCGTCCATCAGACAGAGATTTCTTAGGTGTGACTGATGCCTGGAATTCTCCAGCACCACTATTTCCAGCAGCAATGACCTGTAAAGAAGTTACCTGTTAAGCTACTGTGGCAAACAACAGGAGCAACAGGGGAAGGTCGGATTTCCCCCTGCTGAATGAGGGCAATACAGCTGGAATGGAAACACCTGTACCCACCCTTCCACCCTTCATGTAAACAGTCAAGTAGTTGTCTTGCTTGCTTCCAGCATGGAGGAGTACACCTGTTGAACTCCTTGGTCGAATGGTAAATACAATCCTGAAATCCAATCCCATCAGCAAATTACCTGTGGAGAATTAAACAGCGGGGAGAGGAATGATCATATGTGGAGATATTTGGAAAACCACATAAAAACAACCCATACACCGACATGCTTCAGACATAATTCCATATACCATAATCTCTACACAGCTTACCAATGGTGATATATCCTCCTTCATCAAAGAAGTAAATCCCTGTGTCCATGGGAACATCCAGACATGGAAGTACACCATTTTTTTGTTGAGGTGCATTCATGACTTTTCCATTCACCTTAAAATTCCTCAGGCAACCCTTGAAACTCTTCATTGGTATATTCTGAAAGCATATTTCAAAACAGGAATACTGAAGCATTTTGGCTTTTTTTTAGTAATAATACTAAACATTGATTCTTTTGGACTATTGGACTATAGAAAGCCAAGTGGCACTAGGGGCACCTAACACCCATCTTTGATGCAGTGAAAAAGTATTCCAAAATTCTAAAAAAAGTGCTTGAAACCCAGTAAGAGTTGATTTTGAATTAACATGACTCCTGCTTGCAAAACAGATACTTCCCAATGATGTGCCAAAAAGACAACGCAAGAGGAATTGTGAAATCCCAAGCAGCCCTTCCCTTCCTAAGTCTGTTTATTTAAATCTGATTTTATAAAATACCCTGGGATCATTAACTCTCCTTTTTTTAAAATGGAAACCACACATATTTCAGATTAAAATCTAGTTCTACATCCATAATTCCTTAATGAGAATGATTCTTTTGCTTTTCTACTGATTATTACTTAGTCCACTTAGAGGTAAATGTTCTCCAGAAAGATGGTATTTCTGGAATTAAAAATGTCACTTTGGTCTTCTCTATTTTTAAGGAATAAAAATGAAAAGAGTACGTGGTTGTCATCAGTGCCTCAGCAACACATTGAAAATACAGGTCCTGGTGAAGGCTGTGTGAACAGGTGAGTAAAAAGATCTATAATGAACAAACACTAGTCACAGACAGTGCTCATTTGGTCCTTGGAAATCTCCCCCAAAGCTTTTCAGCAGGGAAGTCCTGCATATTAAATACTTTCCCATATAATTAGTGCAGAGTGGGGAGTGTGTGGGGGTGGATGGGTCAATTATTTACCTGTTTCTTCAGTGGTGGCAGCCCTCCCAGGTAGACCGGTGGCTTAATGCTGATGGCAGAATTTGTTGCCAGTTTTCTGTGATGGACCCTTAGACCATCAATGACAAGGCGGGCATTCTTCCCATCTGTGCTGAAGACCACCTTTCCAGGAGGGAAACATAACAGAATAAAAAACCCAAAAGCCAACAAAAGCCACTGCAGATTTTCTTTGTCTTTAAATTAAATGCCATGTTGTTGAAATATTTAAACTGAAAAAACCATCCTGGACCATAAGTCTCAATAAGGTCTCTCAGAGATCTGTCAACCACATGAACTTGCAGGCATAGGAATTAATTTCGGATGACGAAAACTGAGTTTCTACTCTCTTAAAAATGCAATAGGCTGTGCCTGCTGAATGTTAGTTACTCGATCACTGTGGTTCCATACTACTTACAGTGTGCCATTGCCCATCATTGTATTTAATAGTGGTTTTGACTTTGATTTGTTTTTCTCCAGAGCCAAGTGAAAAGACAAAATGTCCTTTTGAAATGTGGAGAGCCATATAAGAGTCCTCAGAGCTTTCCTCCATGAAAACTATTAATCCTCTTGATGATCGAGTCCGTACATCTACAGAAAAATGTAACCTGTAGTGGAAAGTAAGCATATTCCAGTATGGGTATATTTTGTTAGTTGTTTATCTTTTCTGTTCTCCAATGAAACTCCATTTGTGAAATGCAGAATAGCATTTGGGTGGAATCATGGCATTATACACTGCATTTCTGAATGTGAATGAAATGACGAATTCAGGCTTAGGAACTGGCATTAACATGGTAATTGGCCACCACATCCCATTCAATCTACTCGGTTTAGGTACATGTTTGGACAAAAAAAACCTTGACCTTTTAGGACCACCTTTTGTTATGGTCCAAGACATAAACAAGTAGAAAATCCTTACACTCAGCACCCAAAGAGTCAAGCAGCTTTGACAATTCAAGTACTAGGAGGACAACAGAGAACGTTTTTATTACCTGTCCGTAGATAACAATGGAGAAAACATGTAGGATATGAAACTGTTGGGGATGCTTCCAAAGAGATACGCTTCACTGCTGTCATGTAGCAGAGCGTGGTTTTGCAGGTTAGTAGCTTTCAAATAATCAAGGTATTTTTCATTCTGTGCACGTAAGACAGAATAGAAACATTTACTACATGTGCACAGAAATAGAAACATTTTAACCAACATCTTTAGGAGCTCCCACCCAGGCAGTCAACAGCCTTCCCTAAAAGACAGAAAAGCTGTTGTCATTCTAGACAGGTGTGGGATTAGCATGAAATTCCAACACAGGGAGAACTTGATTCAGATGTGAGATTGAAGGAAAGAACATCTGAATCTCAGTTCCAGAAATGATGTCTGTGCAGACAAAGCCTAGGCATCAGTATGGAGCAAAGATGACAGCAAGAATAAGCATACCTTGAGCATCTTAAGCCTGAGAGGATTTTTAAATTCCTGCAGCAGCATTGGTTGAAGGTTTTCATATTCCCGGCAAGCTCCGAGGGATACACCGGTCTTGCCAGTATTAGCAACAAGATCTTGAACCTCGGGGAGCTGACCTGCCCTGTAGTGATGAAAGCAGTAAGTGCTGTGACTCAGCATTCCTTTTCTTTAGTGCAATCAACAACAAACATTGTAAAACCGTGTTCTGCACAAAATATATTTCCCAGTGACACAATTGTAAAGTAACAATTTTTATTTTTCAATGAAAAATGTACATTCAATGCTGTAAATCATTTTTCCTGGTTCTACTCATTTCTTTTTGGCTATAGAAAAACTGATGTTTTGTTCTCATCTTTTCTTAACAAAGCAATTTTTTCTAAAAGCTACTTAAAAACCACAAACATATATGGCCCTTGAAAAAAGAGAAAAAAATGTCAGTGGCCTTGATTAAGATTTCTGAATCAGACTACACAACTTTGATTGGTAATTATACATAACCAGTTTCAAATCAAGAAAATCTAACATCATCAGGCTCTCCTTCACTCTCTTCTTAAAAAAGATGTTCTAAAGAGTTTTGTCGAGGGACAAAGCCCATCACAACTTCATATGTATCTCTAGTATTATAACCAAATTATCAGAAAGACTGTCAAAGCCAATTTACCCTTGTGTATAAAGAATAGTCTTAAGTAATACTATAATTTTCTAAGTTGTACAAAGCATCTCTAATCAGTAAATACAAAAAACTGTAAAACTACTAAAAAGCTACAAAGCTTCTTGCTTATGGTTTTCTATGAGAAGAGTGGTAGATTTGTGAGTAGAACCTGAACTTCTTTAATGCCAGTCATTCTCCATTCACTCCATCAGACCATCTACAGTATTAATTCTTCATCTATTTTGGCACAAAAACTTTCCAAGTTTGTTTTCTGATGGGAAGTTTAATATATAGGTCACTTCTAATGCCTTCTCCTGGCCTTAAATAAAATTGTGATCCAGACATGGTTAAGGGATAAGGGTTTTTTACCTCGATTTTTAATAAGGATCCTTATGGCACACCACTTTTCCAAGTTGGGACATGCTGCAGTGCATACACACGACAGATCGTGTATACAATTTATAGACCTTGAAAATTAGCATATTTAACAAGGATGCCCCAATGGGAGGCCTGGATGAATGGTGTGATATTCCCCCATCTGAGGAATTCCCCCTGGATGGGCAGAATCTTAGTCTAGATATGTTCTAGAGAGGACCTTGGTTTCCCAAGGTAGCGTAGGGCTTTCCAGCCTCCTACTACAAGGGCTCCAGGATGTTTGGTCTCCTGGCCTAACAGAACACTAGGACTATGTTAATTATCAGACTTAAGGAATTACAAGTATTCATGCTCGGAGTACTGAGGATACATAAAAGGTATATAAAAGAAAAGGCAAAAAAATAATCTTAGCATCACTTCATTGCCTTGTAGTGCTTTAAATGAAGACAAAGTTTGAGCAGCCTGGTTTAGTGGAAGGTGTCCCTGCCCATTGCATGGGGCTAAAACTAGAGGATCTTTAAAGGTGCCTTCCAGCCCATCCCATTCTGTGGTTGTATGACAATCAAATCAAAATACACTATTTTTTGAAATCTCTACACATGTATAAATTCTCATCAAAACTCAGCTAACACAAAGCCCCACTGGGACATGACTTACACCTCATGGAATGCTTGTCTTCTGGAAACATATTTATGCATATTTTTTCTCCTAAATTTTGCTTGTAAGGTGCCTCTAATAATCAGACAAACACATAAAAAAAAAAAGACAGCCTAAATCAGGCAGATGATTTCTACACATATGGTCTCACTTTTTTGTGGAACTGTTTTGGTTCTGTCTGTAGCTTTGCTCCCTTCACTACCTAGTTCCTGGGGAGCTATAATAATACAATCTAGCAAATCTTTTGGTATGCCTTGTTGGGAAATGTCCAATTCACTCTGCAGAGTTCATTCTTTGGCTAACAGACGACTAAACAGGTTTGATTCAGACTAAAACTCCATTACATCTGAATAGCGGATTTAATTATAACTGGATCCCATGTATAATATACCTGAATGAAAGAATATTTGAGGGCAGCAAAGTTATGCGTTCATGAATGCTTCACACATGTAAAAGAAAAGCATTTTAGCAAAATGTAATTTTAATATGATGAAAGAAGGAGAACAGGCCAAAATGCATTAAACATAATTCTTTCTAGGCCAAATACCTTTTAATAAAGATGTTTGAGATGCAACCTTCGAAATCATTACCACCAAATTTTATAGCTGTGTTTGATTCCTGTGAGTTTGATGACCTGGAAGAGTCAGCTTCTTTTGACTCATCATCAACCATCAGATGTATTCTGAAAAAAGTGAATGAAAATAAGCATGATATATAAAGAAATGGTTAGAGAACCAAATCAAACATATGTAAAAAAGAACCATTTGACACATGTGTTTCCTTGTTACATTGTGATTGTGCTAGAACTTAATTAGCTTACTTCTGGGATTTTTTCAGTATGTGCCTATTGACTGCTGTGAAATTGTTCTGCTTTTCCATATTAGACAATGAGCAAGAGTTGAAGTTCATACTTCAGTCCTACAGTGCAATCCTGGTGCAATTGAAATTCATGAAAATGCTCTCATTGTCAACTATGGGAAAGGATTTAATTCTTTGTGTCAAAATGAAACGGACAGTATTAAGTTATAATCACCCAAAGTTATAGCCAACCATTCAAAACTTTCCAATTCAACTAACACTTATGTCACATTCTCAGCAATTAGTATGATTTAGGAGCTTTTCAGTAAATTGTCTCTTCTAATATCCGATATCTGTACAACAGACCATTATTGAAAAAACACAGCATTTGCTTCTTCCCTGGTCCTTTAACCACCTGTGTTACAGGGACACACATGAAGGTTATGGGAAGGGGAAGAGCCCCAAAGACTCCAAAGCTCTAGCTAGACAAGCATTCAAAATTCATACAACCTATAAAAGAAATTCATAGTAGAGTTCAGCTGAAACATCACAGGTACCAGCATGCACTTTCATAGAACAAAAATGTCCTTTCCCTTCATTATCTCCTTTCTCTATCCTCTGCTAGAAAAGACCATTTTAAGTTATTTATCCAAAGAATTAGTCCTACAAAATTTGAATTTCCTTTCTCCAACCACAACATATAAGAACTAGATGAAGAACTGGACTCACCTGTTGTCTGTTTTTATTACTGTCACATAATGCATTGACCCATCTTCATATTTCTTTTCCAGTTTAATTTCCTTATCTTGTATCTTTGCAGTTACAGAGCCAGGACTCAGAGAGATGGAAAGAACATCAGGCTACAAAAGAACCCCACAAAATGACCAGATAAATAAATGCAAGGGCCTTTAGTTCTTGCTATGGCCATTAATACAGTTTTCAGTGGGTGCCAGTAGGCAACAAATTTTCTTACACTAGAACTGAATTTCTCAGTCATCTAGTATCAGATGTGTACCAAGCTCTGCATGATGAACATAGCCTCCACTTCAAAATACCTCTGCAGTCTGAATAGCAAACATTTGTTTAAAATACTTGTTTATTTTTACAAAAGGCAGAGGAGTCAGTTGTCTGCTTCTCAAATGCCTGGTGTGCACTCACTTAGCTCTTCCAGCCAGCCAGAATAGGTTCTACTTAAACTTCCCTGCTTTCTGAGGGATCATAGCCAGAACTAATCCCTTTCCTCTGCCTATTTGGACATGGTAATATTTCTGGGTGGGCAGAGTGCCATTTTTTTTTGAGAAAATTTCCAGCCAATTAAGCAACAGTTTTCTTACTGGGATGGTGGTTCCAGGTGTGTGAGCTACTCTGCAGAAGGCTCTAGTTCAAAGCTCAGTTACTCATTGAACTACTTGTTGGCCATGTAAAGAAATTGCCAGAATGCCTTTCTCTGGCCTCCGACATGCAAGATCTACACTCAAAAAAGGCATTTCTTACCTTAAAATACAGGAATCTACATGAGACTTATGACACAAACTGAAATGACTGATTCAGAGATAAAACCCATCACATATGCTAAGTTGAATGTGTTTCATACCTGTAGATTGTAATTTAAGAGTGTTCCACTTGAAGCTGTGGTCTGAAAGCCAAAGCCAACTTGGAAATCCTTGGGAAATGGGAAATCTGCTGCACTCAGGCTCAGTGTTCCGTCCTTGGAGAAAGCTGCAGATCTGACAAGCTGAAAGAGAGAAAATAATGATTTCAGTGATTTTCCTTTTAATCAGAAGAAATGCCAATATGGGACAACAGCTGCCCCACTCAATATAATTATGATCAGCTCCAGTCAAAAACAAGCACAAGGCAAACCTCAAAAAACATTATTTCAATGGTGTTGGCTTTGCCAGCACTAACTATGGTCTGAGAAACTCTAAATTTAAAGAAAGAGGAGGCTTGCTGAGAATAATGAGCTGTTCATCTCTAGCTGTTGTGGCTTTGAAACTTCACATTTGGGGACACAAAACTGAGTAGCTGAAGGAATAGTTCATAACTATGAAGCTGTGCAGATGAGCTACATAACTGAAACTGTGTGAGTCATAGGACACTTTTTAATACATGAGAAGTTTTACAGTTACAGAGAATGCAGATTAGATCCTCTTCAAAGACAGTCTGTGAAGAAATCGCTCAGTGAAAGATTTAGATGCCACAAGTAAAAGACAATAAGGACAAACTTTCAGTGCAATACTGTAGTAAAAAGGGTAAATGAGATCATGCACCATGTAAGCAGCAGTAAGTAGAAGCAGGATAGTTTTCATCTCTCCATGCAGCACTAGTTAAGCCAGCACTGAAATGTCATGTTGTCCCATTTCAAAAAGAACATGGCAAAACTTAAGAATGCACAGAAAATTACACAACAATCAGATGAGTGGAGCCGTAGAATGAGAGACACTGATGCAAGCAGTCTGTTAGGATCTTTTAAGAAAAAAGGCTGAGAGGTCATTTAATTAGGAAGTGTAAACACCTTGGCAAGGGGAAAGAGACAGAGCAGTATTAAGCATTCCAGCCTAATCAATAACAGCAACTGGAAGCCAACAAGCTTACATAGTAAATATGAATACTTAATTGTAAACAGTATTACATAAGAGGGTTTTCAATGTGCTGTAACAAGCTATCACAATAGGGCTGCTGTCTCTTTTATTTCTGCATCTTCACACCCAATCCAGGTTCTTTTACTGCCATCACATGTTAACCAAATATAATTTTAGATCTAAGCAAAACATAATGGTCCAGGATTTATAGACAAACCAGAATCTGTGAACTCCAGCAGAAGTTTTTGAGGAAATTTATTAGTTACCTTCCAGTCATCTGAACATTTCTTGCTGACACCAAAAGTCTTATCAAAAACAACAGATGCTCTGGCTGGAGTTTTCACATTCTTCATGCAGCCTCGGAATGGAGGTGTGGATATATTAAAGCTGGTTTCAGGGAGGGTAAGGAAAAGGAATTCAGTAACCTGGCATTTCAAAGCACACACCACTATAGTAACCTATAAATGCTAACAATATATGAAATAGAAAAAAAGAACAAGAGCAATTTTTCAATTTTTCTTGCATTCACATGATCATGCTGATGAAACCAAACCTTTAGGATGCACTCCAACAAAGATCTCACCATCAGCCAAAAATCACTGATTATAATCATGTACTAAACCCTTGGGTTTTTTTATGTCACATTAGATAGTCAATACAGAGTGGGAAAGAAATTGTGTAAGGAAAGAGTTTAGATGGAGTTTCCCTACAAAGCCTGTATATTACAGTCTTTTTATAGTTACCCACCGTTCCCGTAGAAAAGATGGAACTCCACCTAGGTAGTACTCAGTGAAATTGAAGACATGTTTTTGGGCTCTAATATTAGGACTGACAAACACAACTTTCTTTCTTCGGTCAAGCACCAAATTAATCTGAAATACACAAATAATGAGAACCACTTCACTGGGCAGAAACGAAAATCATTTACCTGATTATAAGTACGCTCAAAGAGCATGACATGGTGATGTTTATTTTCCCCCTCCTCTTGTTTACTAGTGACTTACATCAAGGATAATTGCAGTAGTTTAAAGGTACTTTGCAAACTTTGGACATTTAGGCAAAGAAAGGAAAATGTTCAGCTATCCAAATACAGGTGAGATTTTATTTTTATCTGAAAGATTGCCCTTTCTAAAAAAAAACCCACACCTCACCTAAGATTCAGATATTGTCTTGTCTTTGCAGCTGAAGATTCAGAAGCTGCTGCCTGATACAAAAACTAAGTCAGTCAATAGATTGAAGGTAACTTGACTGAGTAGAGCATAAAGATTCCTTGCAGCAGACCCTGCATCTTACACTATTTAGCTGGAAAAATATTATGGGGAAAAGAGAGAACTAACCAACAAGGAAATCAAAGGCTTTTCACAATATCTTTACGATTTCACTCTGGTAGTGCTGCAAAAGAACTGGACTGAAGCTAAGGAGACAAGCAACAACAAAAACTGCACAAGAGTAATCTCTATAAAGATCAGCCCACCCTAAAGAAATAAACCCTTAGGTAGTGAAAACATTAATCTAAGTATGAAACTAATGCAAATAATTGCAATCTACACAGCTATCTTTATGTAAAGCATTGCTCTGACAAATTTTTATTCCTTTGGTGGTTTCACTTTTAAAACTGAACATATTAAAGCAGGACAAGAGAAAGATTAATTTTCACATCTCCAGACTAGTCCCCAGTGACTTGATTTCCTCACACAAAAGGAAAACTCCATAACTAAACTTTGCAACAGTACAGTTTCAGTTAATGTGTATTTTTTCAAATAATGGTCCCTTGATTCTTTAAAATTACATACTTGTTGATATGTTCCATCATTTACAATGTTTTTGCCTTCTACTTCTTCTGGAGTTTCAGAGTCAAGTTTGTATCTAAAAACTGTATGGCCATTTTTAATGAGCACACTGATAAACTGATCCTGCAATTAAAAAACAACAAAAAACACCAACACAATTAAATTGCCACTATTTCAGATATATATTTCACTGCCACATGAATAATTTTAATGAAGTTATCTACTTGCTTCAAGAAAGCTTTTTTGAGGAAAGGATAACACAAGGCAAATTACACGAATGAATTGTAATTATTTTAAACTATTGTAAACAGGTCTGGTATCAGCTCCAGGTATTCTCCAATCTCTCAAGGACTTTGTGTCATTTCAAATGTCTACTGACTTTTTTCAGCATTGAAAAATTAACCAGAATATGTCCCATTGCTTGCAAATACACCTACAAGATTACTAGATTAAGTAGCAGCATGGTGGTTTTGAGCATCTTCACAGGTATATGTCATCATGCCCCTTTCTATATTCTTTTTTACTGTTTCCATGCATATCTAGATTTGGGAAGAGTGCACTTCCAGTTTTGGAGGATTTCAATATTCCAAGGTCGGTTTGATTCCCATCACATTCCTCCTTTCCTGCCCCCAGTTCTGAATTCTCTGTATGGCCTAAAGGAGGAACCTCTTGGAATGATTTTCTACTCAGCCTCGACAAAGTGAGTATCCAGCAGCCGTTGTAGAATCATTGAAAATCTCAAGCTGGAAGGGACCCATAAGTCCAACTCCCTGCTTCTTGCACAACTACCTATGGCTAATCCATATGACATTAAACATACAGCAGAATCTACTGATTTTCCACACAGATGAAAAGAACACTTTTAAGACATTTCCTTACAATTATTACTATATCTGACATGTTCTTTAATAAGCAAGATTTTTAAGATGTTCTTCCACTACAAAACAGAGAGAAGCATTCCACACATTACCCCGTTTGCTGCAAAAAACACAATGCCTTCATCTGCAGTCGTCTCAACTGTCTGCTCGTACCGCACTCGGTCGGCACTTCCTTCTCTCGCTGTGACACTGGCGTAACCAGTGCCCTCAAAATAGCTTTGGTCAGTCTCCTCTTTATATCTGTAATAATTCAATGTCACAGGTGTGAATATATGACAGCAAAAACTTCTACCATGTGGACTTACTGCCATTATAATTTTGGAAAAGCTGAACTTGAAGTGTTTGGTATAGGGCCAAATTCTGATCTAACCCAAGCACACAGAAAACCTTCCACTGGCTTCTATCAGATTCACAAATGGTCTTTAAAGAGGAAATAATTAATGACTGACTTTTTTGAACTTAATGTAATATTTACTTTGTAAAGTAGGTGAACATATTAGTCTACAAATTGTGTCTGAATTTTATAACACAGATTGAGATTGCCATAGATGTGAATCATGTAATTACTGAGGATTTTCTCTAAGAAATGTAATAATGACCAAGAGTTAGAAAAAATCACCAGTTTAGCTACAGTGGTTATTCTTCTGGATGTGAAAAGACAAGAATTAATAATGATAAAAAAATCACAGAACTATGAAACACTTCTGTGTTCATATCATACCTTCTGCAGGGTTTCACTTCAGTGGTGTTGAGATTAAAAGTCCTCTTGAAGTTGTAAAGGCTGATAATACGCTCATTTAGGCTGTTCAATTCAATGCAGCCTTCATAATGAGGATAGTTGAGATTACGTGGAGGCTGAAAAACAGTGTCATTAAAACCATGTCATCAACAAAATTTTACATTGCTATCTAACTGCTAAGACTTAAGACACAGAATATGGCATTCTAAATATGTAAAAAAAGATACTACATGCTTGTATACTTTATCCAAACCATCTGATATGACCCTAGGTGTACTGCAGCACAATTTAAAGTAGAGCCACATGGATTGGGAACAGCATTTAGCAGGGCTGGACAGGTTTCATGCTTTACTTGGCAAGTGAAATATCATCATGTTCCCTTCTTTGAGCTCTAACATGCAACAAGCCAGGCAGATTCTGTAGAAAGTAGCATCTCCTTGCATCTCATCTATTCCTACTGACATAGATAAACTTTTACACATGCTTTTAAAAGACTGCTAGTTCAAATCTAGGATGATTAACACAAAATCCCTTTAAAACACTAAGAAACCCTGTACCGTAAAATCTGGTGGGTATCCTCCAACATAAAAGACAACATTGCTGGGATCAAGATCGAGGAGCATGTCACTGTCTCCACTGCTTGCACTCCTAGGGCTTTCATAATCTGGAGAAATTGATGTTGCTGCTTTGATGTACTTCACCTTTGCATACTGGTAAATCCTAAAATCAAAACAGACAGTCAGAATATCACATCACACTAATAAAAGATGTTATTAGCAGATTTTCAAGAAGATTTTTGTAGTCTGTGGGTCTTATACCTTTCAAATGTAACTTGATCCATCACAGCTTCCTCAGTTTTGCTTTGGGTCACCAATGACTGCACTCTCACTTCTCCATCATCCCCTCCCAGGTTATAGACACAAGTAAGGTAACCATCTTTCACAGCCATACCGATGTAGTCCTTGGAAGCCTAAAAATAGCAAAGCAAATAATAATAATTAATAAATGATTAATTGTAATGAAGGTAAAATACAGCAGCACTTTCTTAGAGACATCATCATGCTGTGCATGAGTCATAAGAAATCCACCCACCTAATGATGAGAATTAAGTTTATCAGTTCTGGGAAGAAAAAATTGTAATCCTGTATGTTGCACTGATTCAGTTAATTTAAAACTGTATTCATTGAAAAGTCATGTGTGGCTTTTTTATTTTTGTAACAACAGTATCTAAAATATTTTTCTCACTTGTAACATCTCCCAGCTTAAGCTATGAAAATGTGACACCTTTACTATGAATTAGAATCAACATCTGTGACATAAAAAAGATGTTCAGAACAACACCCAGTGAAGGACAATGGCTCCTACTGAGGTGACTGGGAGCAGCCATTTTCCCCAAAAAATCACATTTTATTTCTTCAAGACAGTATATTTCAGAAGTAACCATTAAAACGCTTTCAACAGATGTCCTGGCTAGTTATTCAGAGGATAAAAAGATGAAATCCAGAACAAATATCTCTAAACAGCTTTCGGTGTAGGCATAAGGCTCACTACAGATACAGCTGCAGTCAAATAACAAGACTAGAAACCACACGCAGGAAATTTTTAAAATGCTTGATGGTGATTGAGCAAACCTGAATGCACAAGCAGGCCTGCATTGTTCTGCATATTCAGAAGACAAAAAAATTAAGAGCTGAGGGGCTGAATTTTAAAACTGAAATGATCACTTTTTTTAACCAACAGAGAAACTCAAGAGTGACATATTGTGAAAAGAGTCAAAGCTCTGAGGCAGAAGTTGGGCTGAGTTTGTGCTGACTGCTGCAGAAACTGACAGGTCTGATAAGAATGTGTGATGGTATCCATAATGGAGAAGTAACTTCCAAAGGAGCAAAAGAGCAAAGCATCAAAAGAAAAGGATCAGCCACTTGTGAGTTACTTTGCCAAGGAATGAATTAACAAAACATTTCTACCACCACTTAAAGGAAATTTTAAAGAAATAGGCCAACAGTAGCTACAAACTTCAGTCAGAACAGGTCACTTCCCATCCTTTTCTCAAAACAAGATATCTGGTCTAAAAATCAGATTAAATATCAAAATATACCTACATCTTTATTACCCAGGTACAGGACAAACCTATTTGTCCTCTGGGGGGTGTCTGGTTCTTGCTGAGGTCTTTGGATAAATAAGGAAAGTGAGGTGTAGCCCTTTAGATCTTCAAGGTTGCTCGGAGGTCGAACTTCTACACCAGAGCTGCCATTGAACCTCATAGGAATAGTAACCTGTTAAGAAAATCAAAGTTCAGTATGTTACAATTAACTATTGCTACTACTCCTGTTTCACTGGTGTGTTTAATTGCAAAGTAACCCATTACACATCCTGGTCATGTTTCAGCCATTAATTACCACAGATTTGGACTCTGATCCTACCAAACAAAATAATTAGGAAACAGACTGGATAATGCAGTAGTCTGTATTATCAATACTTAACACAGCACTTTTTTGTTCCAGACATCAATTAGTCAACCCTTACTGTGCCTCTGTCAAGTAACTGTTACTTTCAATACACGCACAGGGAAGGATGTGACCTGAAGCTCTGAAGAGCAAGTCTATGAATTATTTAGATGTCTACAAACACATCCTGGTGTTTCACTTAGCTGGATTTGACTGTCTGTTGGGAATTTCAATGCACTTCTAATATGATAAAGACACATCCTATTACAGATAAATACACCATGATCACGGATTCCTCTTATTCACTGTAACTCTAGGCTATTTGTGGTGATCTCAGAGATGCTTCTTAGCACCTGAGACCACTCTATTGCTTCAGCAGCTACTGCAGTTGCTGAAATGAGAAAGGGCAGTCTAATAAGGTGCCAGTAGCCAATTTCTAACATCTTGGAGCAGCTGGAGTAGCGAGAGCACAGGGCTGCACAACTTCTTTGGCAGTGTCTCAATTGACCATGCATGGGTGGAAAACCCTGTCTCTAAGCAGCAGAGCCAACTCTGTCCCTGCTGCCAAAGCCACCACAATGTACCTTGGAAGGCAAGAGGCTGCTGTACAAATAAGCATTACAGAGATGCCCTGGGGGAAAAAAACTAATGGGAAAAAGATGTAGCAGGATGCTACTGCATCCTGTCATTTTTATGTATGAATTATTATGCTTCCCATCACTGCAGTTACTTCGGTTGCTGGGTAGTGCTGTTGAATTAAATTTATGTCTAGTCTTTCACACACATCTAAATAAAATGCTTTAGAAAGAGAAAGAGGAATGAAAGTACTGTTGTGTATCCAAACAACTGAGGTCAAGCATGACTGCAGGACAGACCTTATTTGCAGCATCTCTTGCCTGCTGAATCAGCTCTCTTACGCGATCTATGTTCTCAGAGATGTTGCTTATTGGCATCAGCTGTTGGTTGATACTCTTGATCTTGCTGAACAGATCTGGAAGCTGGTTTGTCAAATTTTTTACTGCAATGAAAGAAAGTAAATCATTTGATAATAAAAAGGAGGAGGAAAACAAGATGCAAAAATATGGTATCACTACACAATTATCAGAAAAACAGTGGACAGGGTAATGACAAAAGAGTTTTGACTGGTCCTACAATATTAGGAAGCTCTCACTAAAAGTAGCAGTTTATACAGAGGTTATTGTACTCCTGCAATTTGTGGCCAAAGGTATTTGCTGAAGCAGTCAGAATCAGCACTTCCAAAAATGTTTTAGGTAAAGGTCCAGAAAAAAAGAATTAAATAGAACAGCCAGGTGGTCTCTGACATTATTACCCAGTGGCTGTGGATGCTGGGGAGGATGAGGATAAAGGACAGCAGACAGGACTCAGGCTCATAGCATCTCCTACTGCCACTGTCAGAGAGTGAATAATGGGGTAGGCAGACTTCTGGCCTGACTGAGTAGATCAAGAATTATATCCTTGTGCCAAGGCTGCTAACCAGCACAGTTTAATAGTGAGCCTTACAGTATATGGCGAGGTTTATTTCATAGAAAAGAAAATATGATGTGAATTCCAACTTTCGCCATAACAGGAAACAATTTCTCATCTCCTGTAACTGCAAAAGCCAAAAACGAAACAAAAAAACCCACTCTGAAAGTATTTGCAGACTTCAACCCTATCATGCAGAAGGCAAATAAAATGAAATCCAGACCTTTTGTTTTTCTAAATATAACTTATAAACCAGTTTTGTAACTGCGGGGATGACTTACAACCCTGCAATACTATGCAGGACTAGCTCTTGTATTCATATTATTTAAAATGTTTTCCTCTTACTTGACTTTATCAGATAAAACTGCTGAGAAGATGTAAAATAAAGTTGTTTGGGAATGTGATTGTCCTGTATTTTGTATTCAGCACAGGCTCAGTGCAATCCTTTTCACTTAATTTCAGCTAGCACACATGTAGTCAAAGGTAACTGTCTAGGGCCCCTCACTAGCCAGTGTAGCAGAAAATCAGGTAATCACAGAGCAGCTAAGGTTGGAAGGAAACTCTAAAGGTCACAATGTGCAACCCCTGTGTTCAAGCAGGGCCATCTAGGTCCAGTTGCCCAAACTTGTGTCTAGGCAGGCTTCTGAATATTCCCAAGGATGGAGACTGCACAACCTCTCTGGGCAATCTGTGCTAGTACCCAGTCACCCTCACAATAAAAGAACTGTTTTGTCATGTTCAGAAAGAATCTCCTGTGTTTCAGCTTTTACCCCAAGGGCACTTTGCTGGCTCATCTTCAGCTTTGTGCCCACCAAGACCCCCAGGTCCTTTTCTACAAAGTCTTTTTCCAGCTTGGCCACCTGCTCAGCCTATACTGGTACATGGGTTTCTTTCTCCTCAGGTGCAGGACTTCTTGTTGAACTTCATGAGGTTCCTAGCAGTTTATTTCCACAGCCTGTTGAGGTTTGTCTGGATGGCAGCATGACCCTCTGGTGTATCAGCCACTCCTTCCAGTTTAGTGTAAGGAGCAAACGTGCTGAGGCACACTCTGCCTCATCAACCAGATCATTAATAAAGGTGTTGAACAGGATCAGTCCCAGTATTGACCCCTGGGGTCCCCCATTAGTCACTAGCCTCCAAATCTTTAGAGACCAGTCATGGCACTAGCTTTTAACACATACCACAGAATGGCCTGAGTCACTTTCTGCTGTGCCTGTCCCTTTCTACTACTGGCCATAAAGGAAGTTCAGAATACTTGCTTAGGGTAAGTGCCTAACTTTTGAATGAAACCTTCTGCTGCAAAACCGGCCACGTTCACCCCACAGTGATTTGGCAGGCCCCATTGCACAGAACCTGCCATACCTGAATTGTTTGCCTCTATCAGTGCTTTATTGAAGCTGGCACTCTGTGTGCTTCCATAGTTACTCTTAATTCTTTCCACTTCTGCTTCAATTGGGAACAGTTCACCCAACACTCTATCGGTGACAGAGTTGGCATTTTCTGCCGTGTTCCTTGCACTGGTGATGATGCTGTCGATGTCACCTAAAACACACAGAAATGAACATGCAGGTTCTGATAGCAACAGATGAAAGGGGCAGGCCAGAAGTGATCTCTAAGTAACAAACCTCTGTTTATCCCGTTGAGATTGTTTTGAGCAGTGACAAGATCAATTTTCAGTGAATTTGTCTTTCCATCAGTAACACCAAGTCTTCGCTTTAGGTCTTCGAGGTTTGGACCAATAGCTGCAAAACAGTGAAAGCCCCATGAGAATTTTAATGAAAAATATAAATTTTCTGTTGGACAGATGGTGTTGCAGCACTTGTCTACACTCTTACACAGTTCATGCTGCCACTGAGCATTGAGTCCACTGCAAAACAAGTACAAGGCAAAGGATTTGCTGGACAGGAGGACTGCAAAGGTGTATAGCATAGCAGAAGCAGGAAATTGACATTCTTGCCTTTTTGCCATGGGAAGTAACTATCACAAAAAGTCCTGCCATAATGGAACTACATTACGATGTTTTTTTTGTTGAACAAGTGCTGAAATGCTTTGCTGAGATGTGAAAATTTATGGTTCAAGGAAAGCTTCTTATGCCATGTCAATATCTCTAGTATCACTTTCTTAGTACCTTGCAATTTCTTTTCAGTGTCCTGTGCTTGATCCATGAGTGTACTGCTCTCAGTTTTTAACCTTGCAGCTTTTCCTGATAGGTCTTCTCTCTTCACAGTCTGATAATAGAAGCATGGTACTGTAAGATCACTTGATAATTATATTAAAATTTAAAGAGTAAAGGGGAGAGTCCAATCCAATTTGAAGAACACCCAACTCTACAAGGGCAGAGATCTCATCTGAAGAACATCACCTTTAGCAACAACTACCAAGGTTAATTTAAGCATACTACAACCTTGGTCTTTAGCAAACTTCAGATGGACTTTAGGGCGTTAGGAGGAAATTACTAGCATACAGCTGCTGGATGTTATGTCTATGATGAAGAGCTTCTGGGTATTAGTAGTGCAGAGTAAAAGGGAATACCTAAAATCACCTGCAGTGAATACCAGGCTTACCTTGTAAGATCTCTATTTTGCACTGAAAGCAACAGACAGAAACTCATATGGGCAATCACATCAGAAGGGCAGTACTAGGCCTGGTTAGTGCTGAGCCAAGACTAATTAATCAACGTGCAGAACAGCAACTCATATGAAAGGTCTCAGAAAAATAAAGCATGCCAAGACATACAGATGTTTGATTTTGGGGCCTCTGCCATAGCTGAAGAAAATTAAAATTGGGTGGTAACAAATTTACCATAATTTGGCCACTTACTGATAAAGCTGAGTCAGCTGCTTTCCCAGCTTGGTTGGCTGCCTCCTCTGCTGCCTTGATGGCACCAATGATATTGTCATAGGCAGTAGAAGCTTCCACAGCACAGCCTACCAACTCGTCCTTCTTGGCACTGTTCTTTATCCTGTGGGAAACAGGGTGAAAAATGCAGCCTTCTGCCAAGGCCGTGAGATGGATTCTGAACAGATCTGAACTCAGTATTTTCTAAGTAACACCAATACAAAAGATATTTTTCAATTAGATCTGCAGCTTCATTCTACAAAAACATCAAATTTGGAGACAGACCAACATGGAAAGACACTTCAGAAGATAGGATAAGTTCAGGCGTGTGGAAAAGCAGAGCTCTGAGACTCCAAAGCAGCCTTCAAATGATTAAGATGGAGAGAATTCAACAGAGTATATGGTCAATAATAAGGCACCTCAATCACAGCCCTCCAAACATAATACAGTTAGGAGGAATTCAGAGAACTGTAGATGTCAGATCATCTAGCAAGTACAAGACCTTATGTGTTTTCCCCAAGAACCAGCACAGCAGCTCTGGAATCAGAAACAACAGACAAAATCTCTTCTACTCACACCCTGTGAACTATACAACTGTTTAGTATTAGCTGCCTTGTATTTGTGAGAACAGTGCCTTCTTAACTGAAAAAAAACCACACTGAAAACTAACAAAAAAGTATGAAAATGCGGGGGTTTTACCCAATAATTTTCCAGCCATGTTAGGTGTTTTGGAATCTAACTTTCTGAGACTTTCTATTTGGTGTAACAACAAAATGCAAACCATTTGCACAGGGAAAAAAACCCCAGGAGTTCACTTTTTTTTTATGTTGTTGTGGTGTGTCATAGAAGGACTTCAAAACCATAATTCCAATGCAAAGTACAAATAATGGAGAGAAACATTTGATTCCTATCAAGTTTATAGTGTTTCTGCCTCTCTAGAAGATTCCTTGAAGGATGAGTAAACTAGAGGAGGTCTTTTCCTCCATGGTGCTGAGCAGGCATGTCTGAAGACTGCCGAGACAGCATTTATTCCAATTATTTGCCTCAATGCTTTGATACCATAAAAGCATCCCTGAGTATGAGTACCTGAAATAACTCTACAAAAAATATGCTAAACATCTACCCACTCCATATATGAGGATTTTCTCTTGCTAGTAAGATGTTAATGAAGTGTTAGTACAGTAGTATAAAACAGTATTATGTGAGTTCACACTTCTGGGGGGAAAAATCAGGAAAAATACAGGTAGATCTGGTTTCTGGAGAAAAAGAAAACTTCCATGAAGAAGCAGAAAGGGCCCAACTTAATTTTTCTCTAGCTTTGCAAATGGTTATAAAAGCAAGTAAAATTATAGACCATTACAACCACTTTTTTTGTTCTGTACAAAAAGTACTCATTTACAGGAATGGCAACATACTCTTCCAGTTGTTTTGCCAAATCTTGCAAAGATTTGGCATGTTCCTCGGCCCTCACCACCAGTGGTTCTTTGCTCGCTGATGAGATATTTGCCACTTTTTCATTCATCTCCTTCCTTGCTCCATCCAGCTGAGCAGCCAAACTTTCATATTCCTATGGTTTTTAAAAAGATATAATTTTATTTGTATTTGTACATGTTTCATTTTGTCCATGTCTACTTCAGTGTTGCACATACCTTGCAGCTGAGAGGACCAAAGAGAAAAACATTCCTTTCCAACTTACTCTACAGGTTACTGGAAACAACTGGCAGTCTTTGCATTATGCTTCCAGACCCATTACATAAAAGCTAAGTCAAAGCAAAGACTGTTATATCCCAGTATCTTGCCTCTCTGACAGTGGCTAAAAGCACTTAACCAGAAAGAAATACAAGAATAGCACAATTGCTTATGGTACTTCTCACAGATGTTCTCCCACATTCTGGTATCTGCAGTTCAGTGTCTTCCTCAGACACATCACAACCCTCAACAAGCTTCTCTTACAGAAACCTGCACAGGCAGGCAGACTCCTTTTGCATCCAGGATGGGCTGTGAGATCCTTTCTTTCTTGACTTTCTTGACAAACAAGCCTCATCTCCAACAAGATATTGGGGTTTTTGACCCTCTCTAAATGTAGTAAATTTTACCTCTTTGCTCTCTTGCAATAATCCAAGTGCACTCGTAGCTTGTGTCAGGGAAGATTGGGCCGAGCTCAGAATACTCAAGACATCATTCTGTTGCACATTTGTCTCCTCAATCCGTTTCTGAGGAAAAACGAGAAGTTGAACAACATGTGATTGAGTTAAGAAAAGGAGCAGGAAATTCCATATCTTGTAACCAGAATTAAAAAAAAAAACAAAAACAAAGAAAAAACCCACAAAACAACCACAAACAAACAAAAAACCCAAAAAACCAAACCAAAACAAAAAAAACAAACAAAAATACCAAAACAACAAACCCAAACCTAACCTAGCTGGCAGTAGGATTTACCAAGGGTACAGTCACATTTTTTTCTTAAATATGTACATGAGTGTGCTAAACCAGTGATATATTTTAGCGAGACCAGAATTAAGAGCATGTGTCCTGCAGCACACACTTATTCATTATACTATTTTACCAACTCTAAAATTTAAACACTGCTCAGTAATAACAGCTGCTCCGTGTCCTGATGAAACCTCAGAAGCTGTTCTGTAGAAAATTAATCCCAAATAATTTAACAGTATTGCATACATTTTTGCTCCCATCTTTCATAGCTGTTAAAGCTAAAAACTTCAAAGAACTTACTATGAAAAGTACATCAGCATCAAGAATGTGGTCTAGAAAAGGAAACAAAAGCACTAGTGGCAGCTGGAAAGAAGTGCTGGGAAGAGAATCTCCTTCCCTGCTCTCATCAGAGCTATGTCTTGGTCATGCTGTTCTGGTCACACACAGAGGCCAGAAGCAGCAGTATACTGCATTTATACCTGTCCATACACACATCAGAAGATGGAAAGAGACCCTCAAGAAAGTGTAAAGAATTAGTGCTGCTTGGCTTTGTGAAGTCAAAAGCAGCAACCAAAGCCAGTTCTTATCTTTTGAGGTTTAATTTTTTCTCCTGAACCCCAGCATTACCTTAATGTCTTCTAACAGAACTGCGTTGTCTCTGTTTAAGCCTTCAGCCTGCTTGATTTGTCCTGTTGCATCATTCAGAGCTTCACGAAGGTCAATGATTTTGGATTCATATTCATTCAGTGCATCTCTCACAGCTTTAATAAGCCCACGATTTTCTTGGTGGTGCTTTTGTAGTTGATTCTTAACACGTGCCAGTACTGCAATATCAGGACCAGAAAGAAAAGTTTTGTTCAGAGAAGAAGGGAACCGGAACAAACTTTGTTAAAAAGGGCTCGACCTTTAGGATTATAAAGCTGTACTTGTGTGAACTGAGCATCTTCTGCAATGCTAATTTCAGTGCTACTATAGTAAAGATACTATTCAGCATCCTGCTGGATCAAATCTGCTCACTAGTTTGCTGCTGCAGACACAGAGCACAGATAAATGTTCTCTCAATTAAGTAAGGATGAGGCTGATCTGAAAATACTAATTTTCTTTTTTATATGGAAATAAAGTAATTTCATCAACAATTTCATCTACAATGTAGACATCTACAACTGTGCTAGTAATCAAAGCCTCCTCTGAAATCAATGGAGAGATATGGGCACATTTAATTTCAAAGAATATAGGAACACAGAAGATGTCAAATTCATCACACTCTTAAGCACGCCCATTCCACTGCCGACAAACTAGGATACAGAAGTGTCACTCATAGGTTGGTATCAATGTTCAAGGTTGATTGAAATTAACTGTCACTCATATGGGCTTCACATTCCTCTACTATGCCCCTGGTTAGGACATAAGCCTGCAACTTTTCTTGCTGTCTCCACTGTCTGGAATTAAGTTTCTGAGTGTCCCAGTCAAACACTTGCAGAGAACATGAGAGAGAGTACAACTAATGCAACTAGAACTCCTGAACTTCCTTGTCCTTGTATGACCTGGCCCTTGGACTACTCTAGCAGCTTCTGAAAATCTGTTGTTAAATTAAACACACAATTCCTCCAAAACAACTCTATGTACCCCTGCCTATCTCTTACAATACACAGAAGTATTGCATAGGTGTGTTAGGATTGGTACATCTTTATTTTACCGAGATGGATCAGTTACAAAAGAAGGATCTACTGGGTTTCTTACCCAGCTCAACCTGTTTTTTTCCATAACACACTAAAAATGCCTTTAAATCCCCTCCAGAGCGACCACTTTCCTGTTAACAAACAAATCTCAGGGATACACTACAACAGGCCGCTCTTTCTACTCCAACCCAACCAATAATTCTTCAGATTGAAGGCTGATCTTCCTAGGACGTGAGAGAGCTGAGAGAACAAGCACTTACACTGCTGAGCTTCCGTTCGCTCCTTCTCTGCCTCGGCTCGGAGCCGGCTGAAGCTGCGGTTCCGCATCTCGGCCATCATGCGCCGAGCCTCGGCCAGCTCCTGCGAGGCATCTCCCAGGGGCAGGTTGTTGCCTTCTGCGTTTGTACCGGATATCTGGTCCAGGAGCGCTGAAAAAAAAGCACTGTCAAAGTCACAAACAGGATGTGCTTAAGCCTATTCAAAATGCCCAAATGGCGGGGCAAACATCTTTTATGAGATGCCTCATTAGTGAATTCAGGAATAGGAACGTCTTTTTTCCTTAACGAAGCAGATCCATTTTGCATGAATTCTATTAAGATGAAAAGTATCCCATGACACAGCCTTGAAATTTGTCCCAAATGACGAAGTTCACGGCAATAATTTTAATCTTCTAACTTTAGAGAGCCCATGATGACAACCCAGAACAAAGTTAGACTTCAGTCAGGATAGCCAAATTTGTTGCTCAAAACGTCTCTGTAGTGAAGCTTCTCTGCCTCTTTTCACTTCATAGAGAAGCTAGAGTCCTAAACTAACTAGATTTCTAGCAGGAAAAGTGAATTCTACAGCTGTGACTAAATTCTAATTTTTAAGGTTATTTTCAAAGAAAACCTCTTATGCATAATTAAGAATTTCGTAAATAAGCTGAAAAGATGCTATAAAATAAAACACGAGTTAGAAATTACTTTTTACCTTGTATATTGTTGACCACTATCTGTATTTGTGAAACCAAATCCTTTCCTTTCTGATGAGTTTGACCAAAATTGTTAAATAACCTCTCAGCTTCTTTGTAGTTCATCTCAGCCTAGCAAGGAAAAAAACTATTAGATTAAAAGTATCTGGATACAGCATGCTATTACATAGTCAGGAGATATGTACTTTTAAATTGATTTGGTAAGTCACCTTTTCCTGGAGAGCATTTATATCACGAGCTAGTTTAAGGAATTCTGTCTCCAACTCATCTACCTTTGAACCTTGATTATGAACAACAGAACGGTAGTTGTTCAGTAAGACCTGAAAAGAAAGGAAAAAACAATCCAATAAATCACCCATTGCACAGCAGACAAAAAGCAAAAAATTTACTGGATTGACTCTTTACCCAAGGTAAATAAAAGCAGAATTACTGATACAAAAAGTGAACAATTCCTTCCCAAAACCTGGGGTTTTTGTCTGTGAGTATAGAAACTGCTATTCCAACCAAAGAACATTTTTTTAGAACGAATGGCAAGTGGAATGTTAGGGGTTTTCAGTAATGGAGAGACATGAAGTGCTTGAAAAAGACATAGCTAGAGGCACACTTCAGAAATATAGGTGAGCAGGCCTCGGAGAAAGCAGAGATACTGATTCTGTTTCAGAGTACGACATGGAAACTACAGTATGACATGGAATCTTCACTGGGTGAAGCCCAGTGCCACCAGCATCTGGTATTTGGATCCAGGGCTGAAGTATGTCTTCTTGCAACTGACAAAACTATGGCAAAGGCTCCTATCCACTTAATCTGAAATCCACTTTTCTGTTTCTGTGTGCCTACCTTTAAGTCCTTGATGCGTGTTTCCAGGTCTCTCATCTGCTCCAGAGTGTGGGTACTTGCATGGACATTTTGCAGCTGAGCCTTGATGAGCAGAAGCTCGTCACCTATTGTGCTCAAATCCTTCAGCAGGGTAATCACACAGCTATCACAGGCTGGAGAAAGCAGTGGAAATCAATATGTATTGTTGATATTTAACACAGAGAACATTTCACCAAACACATTAGTAACGGTGGAAAAGCTTTGAAGATTGTCACCTGGTGCTGTCTGAAGAACAGAGGCAACAACAAAGCCTGCAGCATTAAGGAAAGTGACTTAAGCCAGAAGTAAAGAGGAGGTTCCATTTACACCTGACTAGACGAGAACCTCTTAAATCATTTTCCCAAGTATTTTGGTTCAATGTAGTAATGAAGTAATCCAAGTGCAATTCTATTTTATTACTTACAGTCACAATCTTCATTGGGATCCACATCTTTTGGTTCATTATTGAAACATTCTGAAAGCACAAGATAGTCATTAGTAACCAAACCCTTCTTATGGAAATACTACTGCATTTTTTCCCCTCACTTTTCATGTTTGGCAGCCACTAAAACATGATGCTGCCCTTTCATAAATCCATACCCACTGTGAATGAGCTGAAATGCTCAGAAGGGCTGAGCATGTCAGAACATTTAATTCCCACTAATGCCTTGATGAAAGCGACACCTTTTCCATCCCTCAAACGAAACCTACTGCAATCCCACAATATATGCTACTTGGATAAGAGCAGGAGACCCTCTCACACCAAATGTGCCAAATGTATTGCTAGAATTTGCCTAGAATAACACCAGGATTGGAGACAAGATTATATTGCTAAAGCACTTTACCCAGGACATAGGTTCAAACCGATTTATCTACTTCAGTATCCAGGTTCAAACCACAGGTTCTGATTCCCCAAAGAATGTCTTACCCACAAGGAACCTAGAAATATTTATGGCCTTCCTTCATGCCTGTCACAGCTTGCAAGGTTAAGGTATTAATCAAGCTTGAGAGAAGTCCAGTGTGTGCATGGATGGAGGCACTGCACATTAAGACAAGGCATGCAGCTTGGACCACAGATGCAGGTGGTATAGAACAAACATTGCCCTCAGACTTTCCAACAAGCCAGCACAGGTGACTTCCTGTCCAATGCACTCTCTTGTCTGGCTTTTACAAACCCTGTTATAAGAAGCTTAACAGTCTCCAGGTGCATGAGGAGTAACATCATGGGATCCTAACTTCTAGAATGCAGGAGAGGAACTGGCTCCTTAAAAATGCCATCATATAGAACAGGAATCTCTCCATCTTGATGCCCAAGTTCCTTTTAAAGGCTTGGTCCTACTGCCAAGTTCTCATCTCCTCTTGAAAATGAAAAGGGCCATGCATCTTGGCCAAACTTTGAACCTGATGGTCTTGCAAGTCTTTTCCAGCCTTAATTATTCTATGTGTCTTCCTCCAAAGGAAAAGGATGCACTCAGTATAGGCTGCCACCGTCAAGAGTCAACAATAGTTTGCAACTTTTGAGAGGCTACAGTGATAGAATTGGATCTGAACTTTACCAGCAGCATGAAACAGCTTAGAACAAACTGCCTAGCTGTGCCATTTCCTTTGGCACTTGCACATTAAGTCATTGGCAAGTTAAATGGGATTGGTAGTGATCGCTGCTGCCAAAAAGAGACAAATCATAAAGAATATATTTTTAAGAGAATGAAGGAAATTCCTCCGAAATTCAAACATCCGTGCAGTTCTGCTATTGTGTAGTTCAGCTAATAGCAGGGACATTTCAGCTGTCACTGTGAAGTACCAATTAAATAAAATTATCTTTACAGCTTGTGCACCAACAACATCAGCCAAGAAATGGTGAAGCGCTGGCCAAGCGCCGAACATCATGCAAAAGGAACCTGCTAGAACATGCTGTGCCAAGGATCACAGAGGGGTTTATTCCTAATGCAGAGGAAGAGGCAGCTGATCAGGATGTGTAGTTGGAGGAAAACAAACTGGCTTGTTGAATATTGCCCTACGGATTAGTTTGTCCTAGTAAACTCTTGCTCAAAAAAGAAAGGAATGATAAAACATCAAACACTCCTTGGATCTGTTCCATACAAGGTATAATAGAGATGCATTACTTCAATGATGAAATATGAAATGAGAACAAGCTATTGAAAAATTGCACCAGCTTCCAACAGCAGTTCACAACACTTACTGTTTTTCTAATTTCAGTGGCCAAGGAAAGACAGTGGCTTCCTTGCAGTTACTAGACTGCAGGATGAACAGCAGTGCAGAATAATAAAGAGTATAGAAATATTTGGAGTTACTAGATGGAAACGTCACTAACATATGAGAAGAAAAACTGTCTACAGGGAAAAAAAGGTGAAATTTTATAGGAGAATGAAAATATGGGAGAATCAAGGACATTTCAAGAGCAGCGACTTCTGAGTTTCTGAATATAAAGGAGTATCCCAAAGGACACAGGTGAATCGAGGTAAAGACACTCTGAGGAATGTAAGATCAGGCCCTTTACTTCAGAATTCTAATAGATAAAGCAAACATATCCCCCTGACATTATGTAAGCGCTTACTAGTAGTGAAGTACATGTGTGACTGATTCTGGGAAATCATGGATGTTTTAGCTAGAAGAGCAGTGTAGCAGGATTTATAAATGAGCCTCCTGAGTCAGGTTCTAACTTCCACTGTAAATGCAGACAGATTGGATACCTAAGACGGCAGTGCCTGATGCAGACTCTGAAGTTTTCACTAAACTGTGCCAAATACATTTTAAAAAGGCATATTGAGGATGCTCAGTTTCCTAAATCATAACACAGACTGGCAGGATATGATTTAACCCTGTCAGCAAAGGAACCATTTAAAAACATGGCCATGAAACAGAACCAAAATGAAGTTGGCAGTATTTATGAAGGGAAATACAGGATAAAACCATTTAGAAGGGTAAACCTGATGACTCAGGACAGCCCTTCTATTACCATGGTATTGTGTTTCAGGAAATCATACATTTTGTAAAAAATTATCTACATTTCTTGTAAGTCTAGATCTTTCCTTCAGTTCAGCTTATCCAAGTACCTTCCTTCTCTGCTTCCAAAAAAGAAAACAATGTTCGATTCAGAACAATGCTCCATTCACAGGCCCTCACGTACCTCCAGTCAGGTGGTCACAGCTAGCCAGCTGCCCATTATTGTTACAGTTACATTTCTGACAGAAGCCTCCATATTCCTGTGGATTTCCAAAATATCCAGGAGCACAGCTAAATAAAGAGATACAAGTAGTTTTTATTAAATAGTTGAAGCTAATTTTGTGAAATATACTTTCCCTTGAGACAAAAACCTAGTTATTCTCCTGAAGAAACTTTCAAGAACTTTTGATTTCATGTCCTGACTTAGACAGAAATAATATATTTTTGGTTTACAGTTTCCTCTGCACTATGCTAAAAATATCTTTGTGAGCGCTGCAGAATTTTTTTCTAAAAATAAAAGAACTCTCACAGTGCTCTTGCAGAAATAATTCGCTTACTCTGAAAAAAAACCAATGCACACAGATACATACACTCATAGAGACTTTGCCAAGGCTTAACCAGGCAAACCATACCATTCTGGCCTTTTTCCCATCACACTGCATGCACAACTGAGATTTCAAACAGCAACAGCACTGAATGACATCATCACCCTTCTGCTGCGTGATAACCCCTCTTGCCTCCTGCCAGCAAAGCAGGCTGTGTGACCGGTCTCTAAATATTTTAAAAGTAAAATACATTGTTCAGACTCGGTAGCTAACATTCCTAGAAGTCACTCTGTGGTCAGACCTATAAGGGTGATAATGCAGGATCAAAGGGCCATGATGAGCAGCTGAGGTACCTGGAAGAGAAAATACCTATAACCTGCAGATTAGACAGGGTCAAAGGCACCAGTCTTGGAGGACAAGACCGTGTCCTACTGCAGGTCCTGTCTTCAGATGCGACATCATGGCTTATTCAAATTTCCAAACTGGACAACACCGCTCCATTGCACTTCAGTTCTCTCTGGGTTTGAAACTCAGTGAAACTGGTTCCTCTGCTTGCCTGAAACTGCCATGCTGTTCCTCTCTTGCTTTGCCAAACTGCTTCAATGTTCCAAGAAAAAAGATGGCTTCAGCTTGGTGTGTGTAAGCTCCAACTGTGAAGCACATCAGAATGATTTGGGATGAAGGGTATGGTGCTAAATGCTACATGGTTGCTGTTGGATAAGACCATTGAGGCACCATCGTTTACGCTGGAGGAAATGGGAAAATGTTTTTAACTTGGAAAGGGGTGAAATAAGTGTGAGTCATTATTACCAGAGTGCAGAATGAGGCAAGGCATAGGGCACTTAGGTAAAGAAGCAGATGCCTCTTTTCAGTGAAAATGGTGCAGTCAGTAGTCTGTGCAGAATTGCTTACATTTCCCCAGGGAGCATTGGGTTTGTGACTGGAATTACACCACAGCATCATTCTTTAGCAGCTGTTCATATAAATAGCTACTCCTTATTTACATGCATACTGTGCACAGGTGCATGTCCATATGTCCACACATGTCTGTTCCAATACAGACAGCCCTCCTTTCATCGTGTCTCTCAAAACTCTTGGTTTTGAGAAACAGGTTACTCACCGCTCACAACGAGCTCCGGTGTAGCCTTCTTTGCAGAGACACTGGATTTCTTCACCATTTGCCACACAGCCAGCTGCAAATCTTTGAGAAGAAGCAAAAATATTATTGTGAGCACATGATCAAATAGGTTTTACACTCTAGAGGTTCAGTTTAATGACTTTCAGATTAAAAAGTTTTTATACCACCAAATTACTTCTCAGCTAATTTAATTCCCTCTAGATAATTTACTGTGACTAATTCTTTGAAGTTTCATATTTTTTTGGGCAAATCATTTCCTTAGACTCAAAAAATTATAATTTCCTGGCCCTGTGGACTGAGTATAATAGTTCACTACGCAAAGGAATACCTAAAATAAACTTTAATAGTGATGTCATAAAACAAGTCTGGATAGCAATTTTATCTTAATAGGCAAGAATCAATCGCCTGTGCTAGACAACATTTCTTCATGTTTTTGATATTTTCTTTTCTTTTCTTTTCTTTTCTACATTAAAGGATATTTTTATGTGGCTAATGTTTAGGGTTTTTTTAACCAAGGCAAAGTAGAGTTGTGCACAATTTTGGGGATCTTAAGGATCTGGTTAACACAATGAACTTTTTTCTCTGCTCTTTCAAGCAGATTTGTCTAGATTCAAAGTTCAATGTCCGTGAAGGAGAAGGCAGGAGGTGAAGCAGGGCCATGTTTGCTATTTTCATTTTTTAATCTGTGAACAATTGGATAAACCAAGTCTGTGTATCAAAGACAGAGGTGTGCACTAAGAATTACTGGAATTTGACTGGATGGAAAATTGTCAACTCCAGTAATGCCAGGTGGAGTGCATTTCCTATGTCAGGAATGATATCCACCACCCTAATCTGCAGTTATGAAACTGCACAGTTTTATGGTCTCCCTAGATATTTCAGAACTTTGAAAGCAGACAATGACTAAAAACAAGTTCAGTCAGCCTCAGGCAAGCACCTGCAGAAGAGGCTGTCAAAAACAGATATATCAGAGAGCTCTCTGATAAATGATAAACCTGACTATTGTCTGATGGTGTAAATCTCTTACTTAAGGTTACGTGGTGTGTGCTAATGCACCTGGCAAGTACTATGTGGTGCCTTTAGCAATTTATAGCTTACATTGTTTGTTTTTTTTAAATTTTGATTTTATTTACCATGTTTCAGAACTGACCAATGATGACAATCTGGATAAAAATATCATGCATTTAAAATGCAATCAACTGCCCAATTTGAAAAGCCTGGCAACCTTATTAGATCCAAGGAAGTTCCCCTTTTTCACTTTTCATCTCAGTATGTTTGCACTCCAAACAGAACTTTCACAGGAAAAGCAACCATACTCTTTTAGAGTTCTAGATAAGTGCTTACCACCTCAAATGTTTTTGTATTATTTTTGCATCTTAATAATTCTTCTTAATTCCTATAAAAGGTTTTTTTCACTGTTTTCTCTTCTCTCCTAGCCAGAGTAATGGGGTTAAACACCTTGCATTCCAGTAAAAAAAGAAAGATCCTGGATACGCCCAGTAAGGGAAAATACCTCAATCATATATTTCTCACTATGAAGAAAGTACTGATGATTTTGAAAAAAAGCCCACTTCTACTGTCTGGTGCTCCCCAAGGCTATGAGCAGTGTGCCTCTGAAGTTCAGAATCTGAATGAGAATTGGAATGTTCAGCTTATTAAAAAAGGCAATGCTGTGAGACAAATCACCAAGCTCTCAATATGAGAACAGAGAAGAAGATCATTATATTCCTAAGGTAGTAGAGTTTGGGCTTTGAGATTTCCTCTCTCTCTCTTTTTTCCTCCCCATTTTCTTCTTCCCTCCCCTGCTTGACTCTTGTTACAAGCTTTTACTGTACCTGTTTGTATATGGGCAAGGGCATTCCCGGCAGGAACCTTGAGTGGCATCTCCAAAATAACCATCTTTACAATGCTCACATTTCTCCCCAGCAGTATTATACTGACAGCCCTTGGAAAGGAAAGAAGCAAGACATTTAGTATTTAGTTTTATCACTCAATATGGCTCTACTATTATTTAAAAAAAACCAAAACAAACCAACAGCCTATTTACTCAGAGAATATTTTCTTTTTCTTCCACATAATCAAGCATTTATTGCCAAATTGCCTTTACAACCACGGTAGAGCAGTTTCAGTCAATTTTCTAACTGTACAAAGTACAATTTCCTCCCTCTTGTGGGAAAGCAACAGATAAATAAGTTGAACTCAACATATTTTTAGAGAAACTCAACCAGATGCATAGTTAGTAAAGGAACATTTCATTAATGCTCTCTCTCTTCATATTACAATAAAAAATCAATGTTTATATAAAACTTAAAATTATGCATCTTAACACTACTTAGAAGGCATATGCAATCTAAAAGCATGCAGTCGAGTCCAAGTACATTCCTTTAAAAATCTCATTAAATAAATACAAAGAATTGTTTCTCTTTGTAGATTCAGACCAGAATTGAGTTTCATGTAGTTTCTCCACTGTATGTGTTACTTGTATTTTTCTATAGTAACTGGAATAAATAATAGAAAGCAAAAGCTAAGAATACAATTGAAACTGATGCAGCTGAGCCCCTTTTTCTGTGATAAAATTGTTGGAAATTGTATCTTGGTTTAGAAACATTCTTAATTCTAGTGCTGTCTAATTGTCATACCTTTATATTTTATGGGTACAGGATGAGGAAGTTGCCTTTGCATTAACTAAAGCGTTGCTAATTTAAAATAGAAGATGTTCAAATACATAAGTAGCATAAAAATATATAAGCAGCCATAAGAAAAATTCCAAATGAGTAACAGTCACGAGGCATTCACACTCCCAAGTTCTACAACTGCTTGTCTTCTGTGCAAACATACTGATCAAATGTCCCACAGAGCTGAAGTCTTACTAACAGAGCAAAAGATGGAAAAAATAAAGTGGGAAATCAGCTGGAAGCAGTCACTGAACAAACTATGCTTCCATTTCAGGGACCTTGATGGCTCAGGGCTATGTTTGAAGACCCTACTATCATGACTGGCAGAAGAGGGCCATTTTTCCCTACAAATGAGAAACAGTTCTGTCTCTCCCATCTTCTCTAAAACTCCATTCTCTTTCACATTTCTTCACACCACATTCCCTGGATCATGAGCCCTTCCCTCAGGTGGTAACCCCTACTCTGTTTTCATTTTGGTTAAAGAACCACATCTGTGGCTCACTGATAAAAGGGTCTGGGAAAGAACAGGAGAAGCTCCATTTCCCATAAGAGCCATTTCACATGAAGTTGAACACCAAGTATCACAAAGGCACTATGTTTGCAAAAGAAACAATTTTAAAATGCAGCCTCTATAAAAGCAGGTGTATATGTTCCTGCAAAAGCCTAGTGGAAAATTCAGACTGTTTCTGAAAGATTACTGTCAACTTTTATAATCCTGAATAATAAATTCAACTGCAGAAAGAATAAAAAGAGATGTATTTAAGATATATGTGCTGGTTTCATCTTAGAGCAACCTCCTCCCACCCCTGCTAGTTTATCTCCTGGCTTTTTGTTTTGTTCACTCTGTCTATAGAAACTGAAGCTATTCTATAATTGAAAGGAAAATTTCAGCTATTTCACATATAAGCCACCCTAAATGTGCCATGCTGCTCCTCTGGCTACATGGCACGTAAGGGCTGGAGCTCCCCAGCACAGTGCAAGGAAGCCAGAGCACCAACGCCCTCATGGGTCTTCCTTCAAGTCACAGCATCTCCAAACCATCAAGAACTGCTAAAGGAAAGCTCCCAGCTGACTCCAAATGCCCTCATATGGTACAAGGCAGTCAGAGCAGAGTGGCAGGGCCACAGCAGCACCACCAAGGTTACGTCAAACACACGGGGCTCCCTGACATGAAGCAACACGCCGTGGGATAAGCAAGTCTCGGCACCATGCTCTGCTGAGGGAATGTGCCTTCCAGGAGGAAGGGCAGGGACCACCAGGACACAGAGCCTGATTAATGGCAGAGAATGCTTTTTCCCTTCACATGAGAACCAAGGTCTTCAGTCTCCTCCACCTCCTCCTGCCCTCCATTGTTGCCTGTTTCCAGCAGCACAGCAGTGCACTCCTCTCTGCTCTCCTTCCACCAGCATGCAGCAGCAGGAGAGTGACTGCCTGAGCCAGAAGGGCTGTGCTGCTGCACAGGGGAAGGAGCCAGCCTGGGCTTAGGCTCCCTCACAAAGCCACCTCTGGAGGCTGTCACAGGAGAGACACTGAGAAATGCAGGTACTCGGGTCTGGAGCTCCAGGTGAGGAGCAGGAAGCCAAATGAACAAGTTTTGCACTTTGGATGTGGAACTTGATGGCTCCACAGTGGGAAGCCTCCTTGTCTTCTCTGCACCATGTCAGGTTTTTGTCCCATGGCTCCTCTACAGAGAGACAAACTTGCTCTTGGTTAGGCAGAAGATCATGATGGAAATAAAGGCCCTCAGGGCTTTAATTTTTCACCACATTATTCTGGATGCTTGCCCAGGACCAAGGGCTGATTTAGCTCTACCTTTCTGAAAGTTAATCCAGCTGTGAGAAGGACAGGATAAAGAAAAACCTAGATCACATTCTTCATGAGGTGAAAGTAAAATTTGCCTTCGTAATTCTAATCTGAAGTGAAACTTCCTGATCCTTCTTGCCGTGCTGCAGCACTTTCCTGTCACGGCCTGCCCTGTCCCTCCAAAGCAGCAGCCTGTAAGTCATCTCCCAAAATGGGCTGAATTGGTTTATAGTTTCCATTAAAGCAACAAGGTTGGTTGAAACAAATTCAGGGAGAATGACATAACGTGCAGGAATGCACCGCAGGCAGAATGGATGCACTGCGAACAAGGAAGAAGTAACAGAAAAAACAGACCATGAAAGATGTTGGCAAGGCTCTTGTTTACACAGTAAATGAAAAATTAGTGAAAACTTTTTAAAGGAGGAATTTTTCAGGACAAATTATTCAAAGAAGTATCATGGATATAATCTGGAGAAGCACAGTCAGCCAAGTGTCACACTTCCATTGCTGAGGGCTGATCCTCTCCCACGGGGCTGCTTTGAGTTTAATACAGTATGCCAGGGAGCAAAATCTACCCCACCACATCATCTGTAACAGCTGAAATCTTCTAATTAATCTAACTTCTTTTGCTTCTATTTCATCTTATTTAATTCAATATTTTTAACCCATCTAGCTGTAGACTATGATTAGTGGAGATGCACTGAAGCTGATTAAACAAGATTCTGCAAAGCTTATGCTATGCATGAATGTGCTGTTTGTGATCATTACACAAATATATCCTAGCACATTTTTATAAAGCTTAGGACTGCATATGCCTGGATAAGACTCATGTTTATTATAAATAACTACAAACGTTTCCTTATGTACAAGTTTGGTGACTTTTTTGTAACCAGGAGCTAACAAAAATTACAGGGGAAAGAAAAAAATGAAGACAAGGACACAAATCATTCCAATCAGCCACAGTTACATTAAATGTACATTTAAATGCATGCATCTTAGGATCATTAACAATACAAAATTTAGAGAATGAGACATACAAGGATTATTCTTAGTTGCTTAGAATTTAACAATACTGTATGGTCCACAATGCAGTAAATGTTTTTTCCTCGTTTTTTTCCCATTAATTTACTGAATGTTACTAATTACTTACAATACATTTTCCAGTACCATCTTGACATCTATTTGAATTTCCATTGCAGCTGCAGGGCACACAGCGTCCAGCAAATAATCCTTTATTCTCACGATAAAATCCAATGCCGCAGTCCTGGACAGCAAGAAGAAAGAAAAAAATTGGTGAGCATTGATATAAAGTTTTGCATGTTACAGGAAATGTATTTTGAATATGTTTGCAATTTCCAAGGAGTAGTGAAGCGTGAATTTCCTTTCAAGCTCTCCTAAACTCATAATGTTGTTTAATTTTTTCAATGCAGTAAATAGCAATTAATGGAGATGAAGAGGTTTCATCTGAACCCTGTGCTTTGGACACTTTGGCAGTGATGACTTAATCATTTTGACTCTAACCTTAGAGAAAAACACATTTCCTGTGGCTATGTACAAAGGTGTAGAATATGATTTCTAAACCACAGAAAAATATTTGAGTACGAGAACACTGTAGTGCAAATCTAAAGAAGAACATCTGGAAATCTCACATACTAATTAGTGGTTATATCTTGATAATAATTTCACTACAGTGTATTCCTTGGAAACAATTCTGGATACCTTTTACATACATTCATCACGACTTCCACAGTTTAGTCTTACCAAGAGCTAAAGCCACACCCTGACATAGCTAGGTGATGTAACAAAACATACAGTGGTCTAATTTATAAGTAGAGGCTTGTCCTGGAGACTGGGGAAGCATGAGAAGAATGTTCCAACTATTGAGGGCACAGGAGCAGGAGCACAGCCTATTGGATCACAGTTGGATTTAAAGAGGGAGCTGAACCAGAGGGACATTCTGAATGAAGCAAGAGACATCAAGGTTGTTTGCCTACAGCAGGGAGGAAGTAACTAATATGTTAAAAACAGGCTCTTGCTTGGCATGAGCAGGGAAATCACAAGGAATTCCTGATGGATATGAAGCCCTTCTGCATACAGATCAAAATTCCACACCCATCTTTTCCTGGAATACTCTGGCACATCAACAACACTAAAAATGACTGGACATCAGTCTGTCCTTTCTATTTCGTAACTCTTTTCCCCTCGGAACTAGGCTGGTGTAGAGCAAGGAGGATCAAAGGCTTATGGAAGCGGGGAGAAAGCCGTGCTCCCCACGAAGCCAGCACCGCCCAGGTTCCTGCCTCCAGCGATGTTCTTGTGAGCTGTACCTGCGCCTTGCCTCTGCCTCACGGGCAGGGGCTGGCCCCAACAACATGCAGAAAACAAGTGACAGTTGAACTCCCAAGCCATAAATCTCTCCTCATAGTACGTGCACCACCAAGACTGATGGAAACAATCTGAAGAGCAAAGGGTCTGCAGGATTGTGTCACAAATCACACTCCAGTGGCTGGAGGTGTTAGTATTTATGCAGAGGCAGGATTAACCAGAGAATTTTTCAATGATAGAACTACTACAGGGAAAAAATATTCATCTCTCACAAAGCAGATCCTAAAAGGAATATTGAATTACTGCTGTTGAAACAACAACTACTGACACTTTTGTCTTCCCTACATGTAGGATAATTAGGAAAAAAAAAAAGAAATATGCAGAATACTAATACAATCAACAGCTTTGAATACTGACTTCAGTGTGAGCAAGGACTAAATTTAGAATAGACAGTTGAAGGTTTTCAGATACATACTTTAAAGGGTGGATATTTTCTCCAAACAACAGGGAGCCAATATACAAAGCTTCAGAAGAAACCAGGGCTTGAAATACATTAAACAGCATGACTAAGTAAAAACATGTGCTAATGCATATAAATTTTATTTACTTAAAGTCTCTTTTTGGAGAGAAAAATAAATGAGACATTTAAAAAATACATCTAATTGCATTTGTAAAAAAAATCTGTATAGCCTTTTGTTTTTCGATTTATGCTGTCTTTAAAATGACACATTTGGAGTATGTGGGCGCTTTGTTTTTGAAGCAGCATTTGTAATTCCCCACAAATGATAGACTGATTCCACATGAAGATAAAGCTCTAGGCACTTTCAAGTGCTTTTTAGGATCATTGTTTTCAAGTAAACAGCAATTTAAAAGAAATCTTGTACACACTTCTGTTAGTAAAGTACTTTGAGACAAAAGATTAATCTTCTCATTACTTCCATATTAAGTAATATAGAAGTTGTTACCAAATTAGTTCATTTGAAAACAAAGTGAAAGAAGGAGGGAAGCAAGGAGGAAAAAATTAGCAAATTACCTCTCTTGGATAAAAATCCATTTGAATTTGTTGCCACTGACTCCTCTCCTGAAGTTGGGGGTTGGAAAGCCTCTGCTGCATAGCTTGTGCTAGACAATGCACAAGGGACACTAAAGTGACAACCAGCCAGCCTGCATTTCTCGGCCTCTGTGCTTGGGCCATCATTTTACTTTGGCTCCCCCGTGAACATTCGCTGCTCTCCCTTCGGTGCTCACTCTTCCTTCTCTTATTACGCCCCCTTCTTCTCCAGCTTCTGACTCAGATTAATGAGGTTCTGGGCCGTGATGGGCCCCACCTTTAAACTTTATCCGTGAGTCAAGTCGCTCAGCACACAGTACCGCTCCTGAGGTTAACAAGTAACTCCGCAGTTCCTGTGGCTCAATATATACCTAAATCGGGGTGTGGCAGGCATCACCTCCTCCCCACCTAAGGCAGCCAGACAAAGCTTGGTGATTAGAGCACTAAATCACTGCCTGAGTAATGCTGCATAAACATACAGGGCTTATGAGCTTCCCCGTGAATGTCTTGATCACTTCCTTTGACTTTGTATTTTCACCAGGTTACATTAAAAAAAAAAAAAACCAACAGCTTAGTTTAATCAAGGCAGTATGTAGAAAGCAATGGGATGACAGTAGAATTTTCAGTCAATGCTCATCAATTTGTGTGTGGCACAGAGCAACAGAAGTGAGAAAAAAAAATAAATTTCCTAAATGGTTTTTCTGCAGATGATGAATTAGCTGTCCTGAACAGTGGATGCACACATTAAATGTAAGCCAGCCATACATGGTTTTGTTCAGCCTCTCTGCAGCTGCTCCAACCTAGATATTATTCATTCATTCTCAATTCAAAAAGCTTTTGCAAGGTTACTACAGCAATTGCTACTTTATGGTAATGCTAAACCATTTTCTGAGAGTAATTCCTCATATTTTGTGCACTTTGTACACTGCTTATCTCTCTGGTGCTTTATTCTGCTGCATTGGGTGCTTACATATGGCAACAGCCAAGCTCTAAGCTTAGCAAAGTGACAACCAAAAGAATTACAGCTACAGGACCTGCATCAGGGAAAGGATATACAGCTGCATTGCCAGTCTTCAGTTGATAGTATTACTTTGCCTACAAAATCTACACTACCTTTCACAAACGTATCTCCAAGTATTTTTGCAAATATGTTAATTTCAGATTTCACATGTTTTTTTACACAAATAGTATCCTGAATTATCTGGATTCAGGCTACTTTCCTTGGACCCTGCCAAATTAAGAAACATCAAGGATCTTCTCTACTGTGTTGGTCTCTCAGACTTCAATTAAATCAGTTTTAACTTTCTGTCCATTAAAGTAAGAGATTATTCAGCCTCTCAGAGGGCAGCACAGGAGAATTCCTCATTATAGTGCCTTACTTATGCAAAATTATGTTTGCAGCTCTATAAAAGCAATCACGAGTAGAATAACCTCACGGTACTTCTTAGACGGTGAAAGCACCTGAGTCATCGAAAGTGCATAGGCTTACAGGAAGCACACTCCATTACTTTAACAACCATCCTGCTCCTCTAACCAGCCCAGTATGCATAGCTGTGGGCAGAAGAGAAGGGAATGGCGTGTATGGAGGCGGGTGTTTCCTACCTGGCACGAGTCGCCCGCGTACTGCGGCGGGCAGGCGCACGTCTCCACGCTGTGCGCGATGCTGCCGCTGCCCTGCCTGGTGGCTTCCTCCAGCCCGACCTCCCCGAGCGTCAGGCGCTGCGTCTCCGTGAAGTACAGGGCTCGGATGTGCAGGCCATCCAGCCGGGACAGGATTATCATCAGCTCTTCTCGGGACACCGCCTTACCGCTGCCGGCGTGTCTGAAGCTGCCCTGCACGTTCGGGGGTACAGAATGAGCGCAACGCTGCAGATGCTTGAAAGGGTAGCTTCAAAGAAGAGCAGAGGGCAGAATAAGGGAGAAAACACCCATGGAACAGACTTGTCTAGTGCCAGCTGGTGTGGGGTAATAGAGTCCAGGAGAGTAGACACAGGATGGGTGGAAAAAAGAATAATGAGCATAAAGAAAGGGATGTAGCTTTGACTGAGAAAGGTAAGTATAGCTTTGAGGTATTGATAATGAAGAAGCCTGTCATCCAAATTTCTTTGAGATATCACCCACTGAACCACAAAAATGTGAAGGAAAATGCTTTTATTTTTAAGAGTAAGTGAAGTCCTAGAAACTCAGTCTTTCACAGCTAATAAACACAGCATTGTTGAAAATGGAATTTGGTTGAAGAAACATCTTTTTTATCTGCATATGAAATAAATAACCAGTTCGACCTTGTGAGCTCAGATTTAAAGTAGGAATAATCCCTGCTGAATTCACCTACTTGAATGTTGGACATCCCATTCTAAACTAGGTACCTAGACACCAAGGAAAACAGATAACAATTCATTCCATCCCTATTAAGTACAGTCTGTGGCTGCAATGAATCACCTTTTATTGAGGACTGATTCAGCATTACTCCACTGGCCCCGGAGGGAGTGTTAAGGGCTACATTGGGCAAGATGCCCAACCCAGAGGTGTGAAAATTAGGTGTCATGAGCCAGAACCCAGGTTCAACGTGGCAGTAAAGAGAGATAAAAGATGTTTTTTTTATATTTAAGGTCTACAGTGTTTAAGTTTATATTCATCACCATTACCAGGTATTTCTGCACACATTCTGCATGTGTGTATTTTTATGTGACTCTGGAAGGAGAGGAGAAGGCCATTCCTTTTTCGGTTCTTACCTCAACCAGCTGCACTCGGCCATAATATTGACGATCAGGCAGAGGGTTGTTTGGATCCATATAAACAACTTCCATTTGTTGGCCCTATGTGAGAATGAGGATATACCATTGCTGTTTCACTGCTTGCTATGGGAAAGTGTTCAGATGCAATAACATTCGGTGAAGCACATTAACCCTGTTGTTTGGGGGATCAGAACTAAGTAATACTAGGAAAACTGTACATCTTTTTCTCAGGAAAGTGGTATAGTGAGCACTGTGTTCTGGTGCCAGCAAGGTTTTCACTGCTTTTGCCTATTAACAACCTTATTTTCAAGTAAAACACTACGAGAATAAAATTAATCCTGATCAACTTTCACAGGAACTAGTTATTACTTTAGTATAAAAATAGTTCTGCATTTTGAAACATTCTCCTTGGCATCCTGGTGCACCAGCAACTATGGGTATTATGGTAGTAGTTTATGAGGTACATTTCCCAATTAGAATCCTAAAACATTGAATTACTATTTCTGATGGTGTGAGGAAACAAAACACCCCCTTGAGATTTTCAACAAACAGTTAAAGATTTCAATTTTGGCTCTGAAGTGGTTAAATTAAAAAACCGTCAACCTAAATTGCATTTTTATTTCAGGCCCTTGAAGCCTTATAATTATGCTTAGTTTTATGATGAAAAAAATCTCACAGAAAATGAGATTAATTACACATGAAATCCAGGGCATCTTTTTCAGACATGAGGCCATACTTGTTGACAAGTGTGCAAGCACTAATTATTTTTTTTTCCACAGGCATATTCTACAGAGAAAATCCTGTTCTACCTTTTTACTTGCTCTCAAATCAGTTATGCTTAATAATATGTTACTTTGGCAACAGAGACAGATGTGTTGATGGCTTTGATCAAAATGCAGTCAAATCGCTTTTATAGAAATAGTTAATAGTTTTAATAATGTTTTAATAGTTAAGTACACTATAAGAGCAAAATTTGCCATAGTTGTTAAGTAACATAAAAGTCACAGTATTTGTATTGCTCAAAAGTAAAAATAGTGTTTTAAAGCTTACTGTTAGTCGTATATCAGGTTTCTTATCCAGAAGAATCATGCCCTCACTAGGTAAGCCGAAAGATTTCACTTGGTAACTTAGGAAGCCACCATATGAAGAAAGCTGTAACAAAATGCACAAGACCAGACATACTTACTGCTTGATATTAATGAAATTTTTTATTTCAGTTTACCTCATCTTCCAGCACTATAAATAACACATTTATTCTTTGATCTTTAGAAAAAATATTAAAATATTGTAGTTTTGAAGAAGTTACTTTCTATTTTGTTTACTGTGTGTATCTGACATATGAGCAGATACTCTTTTCTGAAAGGTTACCTCCATCATGGGGATTTTTCCATACTTGGGTTCACACCACCTGTGTCATGGAGAAATCATATGGTTACATGAACATTGTTCTTCCCCTGACTGTGCAGAACAGATTTGGTGCATCAAGAACAGACATGAGATTGACAGTGAAAGTGGTGGTGAACTGCATGAATAGCCATGGATGAAAAGAAGGTAGATTAAGCATGTTTAAAACCAGCATTTTCTAGACTTACTGCAAACATGAATCCAATCAGGATTCCTTTTGCTCTGTCTTCAGGACAGGATTTCTACTGGTATCAGCTCTGTTGTAAGCAGACTGTGCCTGCAGGCTGAGCTGAAACCAGCTACAGGTCACCACAGGTGGCCTGAACCCAGCTGAACACGGGGCTGCTGCCCAGAACAGAGAGAGACAAGTGTGGCTGAATCACCCAACAAACACAGCATGTCCCTGGGTGTTGTGTGAAGATCAAAGGAAGCTCCAGACACAGCCTAGATAGTTTTTGTACGAAGAAGAGCCTCTCAAAGGAAGGTTTGTGGGTACCAGCTGAAATAAGGCCATGGATGCCCTGGTTTGGTTTGCACCTTTCTCATTTGCCCTTACATCTTATCCTTGGTTTTGCCATGGAAGAACTGCTTTGTCAGGTTCTGCTCTTCTACAGGTAAGCACCAGCCTTCAATCTACCCCTTTGCATATCTCTGATGAATTACAAACAAAATACTGACATCTCAGTACTAAATTTGTTCCTTGGATCACAGGTCCATAATTAATATTATTCTCCTTAGCCAACAGCATCTTCAAAAGCATCATTTGAAGCATTAGCTATAGTTTGCCAACACAATCAAACCACCCTACATAAATAAATTATTTTATAAAAACATAAGAAAATTCAAATTAGGTTGATTTCCTGTTTAAGTTTCAGAACTGCACCATTTGAGAGTCTGTTAAATTACTTCTTTTTCATTTTTTTTAATAGGACAATATTGGTGTTACAAACTAACTTCTGTATTCTGTATTACAGTATTAATTTTCTGAAGTCAAGAGTGGTCTATTAAACAGAATGTTAAAATATAGAAGAAAACGGGGACAACATGCTCTGAATGTCTCAATTACTCTTAGTTTCTATACTGCTATACATTTTACATTTTATTACCTTTAACTTTGTAAACAAAAGACAGAGAAAAGAAAAAATATACTCTGCTAAATATAAATGTTCCAGTGGAAGCAGTTAAAAGGTTTCAGATAATGGAAAACAGTATTTATAACCTCATCATAATGAAAAATAGCTGAAGTTATCTTGCTCATATTTTCAAAAAAGATATGCTATCACTGGAAGCAGACCAAACTCTGACATTTTCAAAACACAATAACATGAATAATTGGTAAATTTACAAACTTGTAAACTCACAGCTAGATAGCATTTTGGTGGGACTTTCATTACTGCAGTACTACCTGTGCTAAAATACACATTCACACATAACATAGAGCAAAAGCAGGACCCAAACTAGAACTATTTTATTTGCAGTGCTGTCATAACATAAATAACAGGAAGTAATGGCAGGCCTAGGTCGATAGTCTGACATGCAACATAAAACTCATAGCACTGATCTTAATAGCTGTGTTTAAAAAGGGTTATTGCCTGCTTTATATCTTGTTATGGAACAATAAAAGTACTTTTGGTTCAACACTGCAGGTGATAACGTATGCTTTAACATGAAATTACTTTCAAAAATAATTTGTAGGCACTGAAACAAGAACCTTTATAACATCAACAAAAAGCACCCTAACTAAATGTGCTGGTCACCTGACATATATATATATATATATATATATATATATATATATATACAGCTCTGAGCATAGGAGAGCAGGAGGAAAAATACTGCTCTAGTCTTTAAAATGAGGACTAGGAGAAACTTCAAAAATTGTACCATCTTTCATGTCTCAGTGTCTACACCATTTGTTTTCTCTTGTGTGTCAGTAGGATTGCATCTGAAAAGCCTGTGTGCTGCAACTGGCTGGGAAGTATTGGCACTGTCAGAGTTCCAAAGAGGGGAGCTCTGGGCCTGCAGGTCACCATTAGCCAAGTCCCCTGGTCGGTGTGATCCTCATGCTGAGATGCTGATGGCATTAACCGTGAGCAGGAGGCTGCTCCCATGCACGGGTCAGCAGAGCAGCAAGCAGCCACAAAAACACAAAGGGCAGAAAACCAGTCGATGTTCTTCTCAAGCAACATATCAAAAGGAAAAGGTTGGGGGGTTTTGTGTGCCACTGAGCACATAATAATGGTTTATTCTTTTGGAAATCTGCCCAGGATGTACTCTAGAGAATCTAAAGAATTGACAAGCTCTGTGTGTTCCGGGTTTCAGAGCAGTTCTACATGTTCTGGGCTTCAGAAAAGCAGTTGAAGGTACCAGCTGCTTGAGACATTTGAGCCATTGGAGCCATTGAGCTCTTGATCATGCTGTTCACATTAAAACCTGTCCAGCACCAAGCAATGCAATTAATTCTGTGTTATTGGTTAATTTCAAAACTCTACTCAGAAGTAAAATGTGATTCCTGGCATGACAAATAAGAGAAACAAGTGAAGACAGAGAAAGTTATCTAAGAAAAACAGTGAGACTCTTCATCAATGATGCTGGTAAAAAAACAATTGCATGCTACTAGAACAGAAGAGTTAGGTGGCATTTACCTTCTCTCCCAGGTAGGATGGTGGTGCTTTCCAGTACAAATTATGCACAGAAGCTGGCAATTCTTGAACATCAGCCACCACACTGTTACTGACTGGATTGAAAGTGACTGGAATGTCCATATTTTCATCTACTGCCTCCAAGCGCCAGTTCCTCATATCCACGAACTAATGGAAAACACATAAAGGAAACAAAAGTTTGCCTCATCCTTTATTAAAACTTTACCAGCACCAAGTAATGAGAAGAAATTGTTTAGCCTCTGTAATTTCTTTAGCATGAGATCCAACCCCTTCAGAGCCAGCCTAAAGTCTTTGAACAATGGATATTCCAAGGACCTCAAAAGAGAGTGAAAATGTGAAGATGTGCCAAAGCTACTTGGGATGCAGGCAACTGGTTTGTCACCTGGAAACTAAATTCCATCTTCAGCCATAGGCAGACATAGCTTTCTGGGGGTGACTGGGAATTGTGCACACAAACCCGAGGATAGAATTTGGAGATGCTTTTTAAAGCCCATTCCAAAATCAATCCCAGGGCACTAACCTCAAAGACAGAGTGGGAGGGGACAAGGCATGACATCTTGGAGAGGCAGGCAATGTAGTCTAATATTCTGCCTCTTTAATGCACATTTGATGTTTATGGCTGATGAGGAAAGAGAGCATAATGTGTATGACGTACCAGAAAAGTTCTGGGTTCTGGTGGATTGCCCTTGACTGGCCAGAACAAAAACCGAAAAAAATATAAATGTTTTCATAAACAGTTTTTGGTGAGGACAAGTAATGGCTAGAGGAAATTTTCTACTGATTTCACAGGCCACATTAGGCCACATTTTCACCATTTGTTCATAAAGGGCACAATCTGGATTGCATCTAGTATATGTCTAAACCTTAACTAAACTCCTCATCCACCATTCTAGCTCTCCTCTCTTTTCCTTTCTCTTGCCTCTTTTTAAACAGCTGTTGCTTTTATTTTCAGTCTTCAGCCATTTTACTGTTCATTCATGCTACTAAAAATCTTTGTTTCTCACATTTGATATAATGTCTCTTTTAGAGGGAGGGAAGAAAGACAACTTCTACAATCTCTGTAGAATCTGCCACACAGTTCTTAAGAATGCATCTATAATATAGACATGTAAAATGATACGTGCTTATCAAAGCACCTTGAAGGAGATCATTAACTTCAATGATGACATAGAGTTTGAAGATAAAGCAAGCAAGATAAAGACCAGCTCAACTTCAGTCCAATTAATGACTTGTAAACAAACAGGTGAAAAGGGCCATTTCTGCTGAATGGCACTTTCAGACTACACCTAATCTTAGGAAGGCTGCACTAAATCTTCACTTGGAGAATTGCTTAGAAAATATTTTTCATCCTTAGAAACTAATAAAGCACATTTTCAACTTTGGAAGAAATCTGGAATTTCCTTAATGGAACAAGTCTAAGTTCATGATAGAAAAGAAAAAAATCTTTGGTACACCTTGGTTCTACGACGGTCCGTGCTGCGACAATTGCTGGTTGCCCCAAAACAAAAGCAAGGTGTGCATCCCTTGGGGTTAGAAGGGTTCAGATAAAAGGATCCTGGTCTGCAAGTGTCACATGCTGCACCTTCAACATTTTCCTGTTAAGGCGTAGTTCAAAGAAATGTCAGTGTTTTTCTTTTTGCTTTGCTGAGGTCCTCAAAACATCCTGCACATGAAACAAATCTTCTGAAATACGTATTTAAATGTATAGAAACAAATGAATGAAAATATGTGATTTTTCTGGACAGACTATATTCCAAATGCAAATAAAGCTGTCTTGAAGGCTATCTTATGGGTTTTATTTCCCGTTTATAATGTGAAAAGTGAACAACTGAGTAATAAATATTAGTCAGAGACAGCTGGTAACTTTCTTGCCAAAACCCTCCTGCTGGCTTTTGCAAACCCACAATATAAAAGGTCACTTGTGAAAGTTCACATTTATCACATTTAATTATGCAGATCAGAACAAAAGAAGATTTCCTAGCTATAATGATGTGGTAAAATGTCAACCGACATAATATGGCTAAAAAAAGCATGGGACTTGGTTAACATCCAAAAGGCAAGATGCAGATGGATAAAGTGGGCCTGTGCAGGGTACAGACTGCTTCAGTGATTCAATGGGCATCTACTCTGCAGCTCTCTAACATCCTGCAAAACCTAAGAGTACCTGAACAACTGACAGATATTGAACCCATTAAAAAAATGGTGTTTAATGTTCCCATGATAATCTGTGTACATACTGCAAAGTGTGATGTCTTTGTTCAGCTGCATTTAATTTTTACTGTAAACTTAATGATAAACTCACTTTATTCACCCCATTATATATAAAATAGCCACTGGCGTGCAAATGATGCTTATGAATGCAGAAGTAGTTTGATTTATCTGACCTTGCAAAGACAAATTCCTGTCTGGGGATCACAAACATCTGGTTCTGTTCCACCTCTGTTACAGCTACATGGCACACAGTTAGGGAAACCATAAGTTCCAGGAGCACACTGATCACACCGACGTCCTTTTATTCCTGGTTTGCATCTTTATCAACAAACACAGAGGAGAGAGTCAATAAGGGAGGTAGGAATGGAGTAGGGAAGGGAAAATAAAAAAACAGGCAGGTGGACAGTCAAAGGAATTACATGGCTATGAGACAACTTTATTACCTCCACAAAGAAAAAGCAGCAGGTTAGTATTGTTCTCAGATTTTGACACTTTAAATGGCCACAGAACTATCTAGGGATGGATTTGACTTGGAAGGATAAAAATGCTCACAATAGAATTAGACTTCTGCAGCTATTCAGTGCTTGCAGTGCAGAACTACTCTCTCTGTACACCAAGGTGTAAAACATGGATGTTGAATATAGGTAAGCAGAGCTGGAAGAAGATTTAGAGCTGGAAAATGTACCTGGGCATTACTCAAGGCATGCATCTGGTAACAAAAAAATGGGGAATTGCAATGGGAATAATTACAGAGACCTCAATCAGCCACAAAGCTTGGGTTAATTTACAACCATTCACAATGGATAAAATCCATTTTGCTCACTGAAGAGTGAATAACTTAAATTTCCCATACGCTCTCCAAACACCTGAAAAGAGCATTGAAATAAACCATTCGTGCATTGTTTACAACACACATAACCCAAACTTACTTGCATTGCCCACTGGTTTTATCGCAGTCTGGACTTGCCACATCAACAATTCCTTTTTCTGAGCAGTTGCAGCTCTTGCAGCCAGCAAGGGGATGATAGCTGAAGTAATATTTCTCACACACTTCACATTTTGGCTTCACAGTTCGTGGAGGGCAAATGCATTTACCAGTCATGTCATCACAAAGACGCTGCCCACAGTTGCATACTAGATCAAAGAAATTGTCCTACAAATCAATCACATCTCATCTTACAGCAATCAGTTCTTACTGAATATGCAACAAATATACACAACCTTTATGTATAGAAAGCACTACTCTTTTCTCTCAGTAGTTTAAAGTTCAGGGTCATAGAAACCAACTATGTGACTGCAACAATAGTTTCAAAGAGCAGGTTTAGTGCTTGGCTCTTTTTCACAGACTGGTTGCTTAACTTCACTACAGACATTGTTTACCACTTGACAAAACTGCCAAGGATTAAACCAGTAGTTTTGGTGTCACAGGCACCACTTTTATAAAGCAATGCTTATAAACATCTAGTAAAATATCTATGAAAGCAGCCGAGGATTGTTGTTGGTGTAATGTATGTATCTGTTGTTATTATTAATATCAAAATATGAGGAATTAGGAATGCTGTGTCTCTGATTATCTATGGAAAAGCTTGAAGGTGTCAAATGGATTAAATATTTACAACCTGGAAATGATTTAGCAGTCAGTGCAGAAAAAAATCCATTTCACTGAAATAGTGGCAATCTGGATTTTAACCAGCTGTAAGCCTACTGCACCTAATCAAACAACACATGCAAAGGCACACTTCATCACGAGGTAGGTGGAATGGGGATTTTTTTAGGGGAATGAGATTTCTTCTGCCTTAAACTGAAAGCTATGCTATGGTGAAGCTAAAACAGCTTGACCAGCCTCCAAAGAAAAGTCAGGCTGCAGTAGATCTGCAGTAAATTCAGAGGATTAAGTAGGTGGCCAGGTCAGGAGCTGAAGGAGGGCAAGCACATACTTACACTTGCAGAACGGGAATCCATAGTAGCCAGTTTGGCATCGGCTGCACTGGCGGCCGATGACGTTGGGTCTGCAGGCACACTGCCCTCCCAGGGGGCTGCACGTGGGGCTAGTGGCACCTGCGCTGTGGCAATCACACGGCAGGGCTCCGTTGTTGTAGAAAGCCACCAGTGACCTTACAGAGTCCTTACAGAAGGGTGAAGATCGTTCTGGGCTATTTAAATTGAAATATAAATCATGTAAGTGCTGGCACTCAGAAACCGTTATGAGAGTGCTTTGCAGTGGTTCAGTAAATTAGGGTTCTGTCTTTCAAACAGTTTGGCATAAGGATGGCATCAGCACACATGCAAAGATATACTTTAATTAAATTGGGGTGAATAGCTTTGAACATGCAGGTAAGAGGTTTTTTTCATAGCAAGTGCGTATTAGCTGTATCAGTTCAGACATGCCAAGGAAAATACCAAATACCAAAGATGGAAATACCAAAGACAGGAAGATGACTTAGATTTTCCTCTTTTGTACTGTGAGCAACAAAGCTCTACCTTTACATTGCATTTGCAATAGAAAGCCATGGAAAAATGACTCATGGAAATTCAATGGGCTAGCATAAGCCATGAAAAGCATTTTAATGTAGCACAATTATAGGGATTTAAGATAGCTCTTCAATGCAGAGTAAAAGTAATATTATTCCCAGTTTGTTGTCAATGTTCAGGTTTTTAGAAAGTGATGCTTACTCAATGTAAAAACTGTTTCCTCCACATTGGCTGATAAAATCAAATGACTTGTCCACTGTCTTTTTGTCAAGAATTTTGTAACTGTAGGTGTCTGCTGGAACAACTAAGATATTTTCCTTAAAACAACAAGAAAGCTAAATTGTACATTTCAGAGAAAAACAAAAAGATACAAGCTAATGCATTTACATATTTAAATGTTGTTTCATTATACATTCTAGATTTTTTCAAAACCTCTAAGACTTTAACCAAAAATAAGAAAATAAACTTTGCATACTGCCTCAACGCTGTTATGCTACAAGCAGTGTACAACAAAAACAGTGGAGAGTATCTTAAAAATTTAAAATAAAAACCAAAAGCAGTGCAAAAGATCCTAAAAATCTGAAGCATAACATGAAAAAATTTATTCTTTTGGTTTTTATCTTTGCATCTATCTCTAAATGAATGGTGAAACTGAGAATAACATTTTCAAGTACATTTATGTAATACACGTACCAGAACCAGTGTTCTTCCATCTGGTATCATCACTGTAACAGAGACCATGGGTTCAGAAATGTCAAGCTCAATTTGGTTTGCTGCAATCACCTGAGCCCGACAGCCAGAATTATGAGGGCAGAATGAAGCATTGAAAGTACCTAGAAGAAAAAAATGTATTGGGTTTATGTGAGAAGGTTTTGGTTGTAGGGGGCTACTGGGGTGGGTTCTATGAAAATCCGTAAGAAGCTTCTCCCACGTCCGACAGAGCCAATGCCAGCTGGCTCCAAGACAGACCCAACAATGGCCAAGGCTGTGTCTGACCATGGCAGCACCTCTGGAATAACATATTTAAGAAAGGGGGAAAAGCCCAGCTCAACAGCAGGTACAGCCAGAGAAAGGAGTGAGAACTTGCAAGAGAAAAAACTCTACAGTCACCAAGGTCAGTGAAGAAGGAGAGGGACAAGGTGCTCCAGTGCTGGAGCAGAGATCCACCTGCAGCCTATGGATGAGACACACACAAGAGCAGGTGAATGCCCAAATGGGTCTGTGAACCTCTGGGAATCCCACAATGGAGCAGGCTCCAGGCAGGCCATGGAAGGGACCCACAGTGGAGCAGTTAGTGAAGAATTGCAGCCCAGGAGAATGACTCATGTTGGAGAAGTTGGTGCAGGACTGTCTCCCATGTGAGGCATCCCACACTAAAGCATGGGAGGAGTGTGACCAGTCCCCTGCTGAGGAGGAAGGAACAGAGGCAACCTGGGATGAACTGAGCACAGCCCACATTCCCTGTACCCGTGTGCCACTCAGTGGGAGGAGCTGGAGGAACTTGGGAGTAAAGCTGAGCCCAGGAAAAAGGGAAAGGTGGAAGGAAAATGTTTGAAGCTCTGGGTTTAGTTCTCATTACCCTGATCTGACTTTACTGGTAACAAATTAAGCTAATTTCCCCAGGCCAAGTCTGTTTTGCCCATGTTGGTAACTGGTGAGTGATCTCTCCATGTCCCGATCTCCTCCCATATGCCTTTTGTTATATTTGCTCTCCCCTGTCCAGCTGAGGGGAGTGACAGAGTGGCTTAGGTGGGCACCTGGTGTCCATCCAACACAGCTCCATATCCCAAAATGCTGAGGAAGGAAAGAGTTTAGGTCAAATCCAGATGCCTACCTGACCACACATGTCCTGCAGTCACATGCACTTGCACAGAGAACACCGGGTGTGCTGGCTGATAAAAATGTACCACAAACACATATCTGCCCAAGTGGGGCACTCTGCCACTCAAGGTGATCTGGCTCTGGAGAAACAAGAACAGCTCTGGTATTGAATCACAGAATCACAGAATCGATTTGTTTTGTGAAACTTTTTTGGGCTTATCAGCTGTGCTCAGTGCCCTCTACCTGCAGTGAAAGAGAGGGAGCTTAGCATCTCTCAGCAAGCTCTATTTCTTCAAGGAACATGGCATTACAACTGCATGCTCTGTTTACCTGCCAAGCACATTTAACATTCTTCTGTGAGACTGTTGTGTAGTTCAAAAAAAAGCTGATAAGCTGGTGTTTGGGATTCCCCCTTGCCCCTTCCTTTATATTGTCTCTGTGGCTTAATCACTTTGCAACATTTTCATCATATCACATCATCCAGTTTTGATTCTCTCACAGCATTTCATCTATTTAATTTTACTAAAGACATACCTTGTGACTTGCAAAACAAAGTTTTCAAAATATGAGGTACCTGTAATGGTGTCAAGGTGACTCCATGAACTGAACCAGCAGGTAAAGTGGCACTCCATGGATCATGGAGTATATTCTCCTGTACTTCGGAAATCTTCCCATCTATGAATGCATCCAAAACCAAAGCTCCTGGTGGAGTTTCAAAAACTGAGGGAATGCATGCTGCACTAAACACAGAACCACAGTAATTATCCTTAGGGCTAGGAAAAAGTTTTAATCATAATAGGAAAAGCTGCTGGCTTATAAAAGTCAGTGTATTAAACTGTATTGAAACTGACAATGCAACACCTGTTGGGTTATTTGGATTATTTGTGAATGCTCAGAAAGTAAATGAAGACAAGAGGAATGGATTTAACTTATAAAGGAGAAAGTGTGTACACTTTTAATGTATTAACTGATTTTATTCACACAAAATTTCTATAAGTTTCAGTGGAAAGAATTTTCTAAGGAAGAGGAAACTTAAGGGAATCAGGAGCACTAAAAATTAAATTCATTTTAGTTATCCAGTTAGTTATACTCACCAGAATCTGTACTAATATTGAATTCTCAGTTCTACAAATATTTACATAGGTGTATCCTTTAAACATGCAAGTATTCCCACTGAAGTCAATGGGACTACTCAAGTACTTAGAAGTTAAGTATATACTCAAATATTTGTAGAATTGGAGCCAAAATAAATAACAGTACTCCTTGAAAGCATCCTTATTCATTCACTGCTGTGTTTAACTATTTCTTCCTCGGCATATTTAATTCTGGGATTGAGAGAAGAATTTTCCAGAACTGCAGGATAAAATATTTTTGGGGGTTTCCTGGTTGTATTTGTTCACTTCTAATAAGTACTCAAACAGACAGTGATTAATCTTTGCTCAAGACAGGCCCAGAGCTGGAATGCCAAGTATGTTTCAGGGCCAGAACTGAGATGTATTTGCCAGGCCTGTGTGGGAAATCATGTGCAGCATCCACTTACAATACTGTTCATCTGAGCCAAACCTTTGCATCTTTCAACTTGATGAACTTAAACACTTTCAGGAAAGCAAAAATGCTGCCAGATAATAATAAATTTAAAAAAATAAATGAAAACCTACAGTAAATGATGCAAACGTAACAAGAGTTTTAAAAAATACCCAACACAAATCCAAAGTAAAATATGTAAGTTTCTACATTAGCTTTATTTTGAATCATGTTTTTCACCCATCCTCTTTCCCTGTTTACTCAAAATATAAATGCCTGTATTTGCAAAATAACTTTGGTGCAAGGACAAGTATCTTCAGTCTTAGGAAGCTGCTCTCAGTGGTAACACTGAGCAGGAGAATTAAAGCTGTGATTCAATGCTGTGCATGCTTGAAAGCCAAGCACAGTCACATGTTTTTATCCAATTTACTATCCAGATTTTTCTGCTTTCTGTTTCAATTCAACCATTATATTAGAAGCAACCATTTGGAAAACTATTAGACCAAATCACCAACTCTTTTTGCCTCTTAAGTCCTGCAAATGACATTTACTTTTATTTTGAGACCCTTCCCACTGCTAGATCAGTAGGAAGAAAGCCTTAGGAGTAGGCATCACGAGACACATCCTGGGGAGTGCAACAGGCACAGAAATGTGGAGGTCCCTAATTTGGAAGCTGCAGTGAGAGTTCTTCTCTGTCCCAAAGAACAAAAGATGGGATGGGGAAGAGCTTCAGCAGGACAGAGGAGATGCTCTGTGGAACCCAAACCACTCAGGAAGGCAAGGTTCAGGTTCAGATCTTCACAGCAAGAGAAGAGCTGTCAGCCTGGATCAACCAAGCAGTACGTGAGCTCCCTAATTGCTGGTCCTATAAAGTAGGATGGAGAAGAATGGCCAGCTGGCATTACTGTGTGAGGTGAAGGATGAGGGCACACCTACCCTAAGGGCCCCACAATGACAGGGAAAAGGGAATGGCTTCTTTGGGAAGCAGGAGTTTACATGTTGAATAATTTGATGCTGCCAAGTTGAGCTGGTGGATTTGTGCCAGAAAGGGCAGTCATCCCACACCAAGTGACAAATTAAAGCCATTTTGGGACAGCTGAAGCAGTAACATGCAGAAGAAAACTCCAGATGGAACAGTAAGCATTTCAGGCCACTAAAGTAGGAATGATTTACCAGCTTGGACACCTGTCATATTGGATGGTATGTGAAAGATGCATATTTTCTCACACATCAGCACTGGGTAGCTCAGATGGGCCAGGTTAAAGGCTGTTATCAACAAAATTCTGTGAAAAGACTGTCTAGATTAACACTAACATTTCAGCTTCTTTACAAAGACTACTTTAAAGAAGTGGCCTACAGATCACCTGTGAGTCACTGAGCAAAGCTTCACTCAAAAGAATTTAAAAAACCATTTATTCTACCTTTCAAAGTTGTCCTCAGATAACAGAAAGATAAAACCAAACAAGTTACCTTCTATCACTGTTACTCCTGTATGCAGCTATGCACTGTACTTTAGGATCCACATACTCTGGAGAAAATTCTTCAGCTGGTATAATGCAAACTTTGTGCTGAAAAACAAGCATAAGGCACAATTAACAATTAATATCATAAATGACAGGGCCAGGCCTGAACAGGAAGGATGAAGCCTAATTTTAGCATAGGGAGATATGAGCCCAAAGCCATGTTCTGTCATAGACCTCCCACAAGATTTTGGATCCCTTTACTTTCCTGCACCTCAGTGCCTCAGGGTTAAATAGCATTTTTCTGTCCTTGTCAAGGGAATTTTAGCTGTTCAGGAGGGAAATAACTAAAAGGTAAGTATATATGTGTGGTAAAGGAAAAGACAGAAGCTCAAAGGCTGAGAAGCAAGACAAGGAATGTAGAGAGGTAGGAGGGAAAAGCCCTCATTTTTTATTAGACACTTTTGGACCCTGGGGGAACTCCCAGACTTTATCAAATACAGGCACAAACACTTGATCATGCAATGTCCATGGGAGTGAGTCTCAGTGACACCAGGATTTCTATCCCAGGGTTCAGAACTCATTTCAAAAGAAGCAAGGCCTAATATGGGATTTTTTATTTTAACTAAAAGTAAAAAAGTAGACTTGAACAAATGAATCTGTGGTAGTCCTGCTGTACCCATGGTGGTAAGGACATAAGGGAAAGCTTTTGGGTATACACAAGAGTATGCACTAATATAAGAAAATACAGATGCACAAGTTACAGAGCTTATCCATTAACTAGCTGAAAAAGAGATGAAGATGTCCAATAAGCAATTAGACAGCTAGCACCATGTAGTAATGTAAGTAAAAATTGAATAAGGAGAATTCATTATTATGCAACGTGATTTAGTTTGGAAGCATGTCCTAAGGGGGTTCAGCCTGTGTTTTAAAAGTAGTAAGCAGTGGAAAATACCTTTGCAAGCTACAAGGCAGAATGCTAAAAGTCCTTTTTCCTGGGCAGCCAACACTTTGCCTGTCCTGCATGTAACAACCCACAGGGCTCCAGGCCAGTGCAGCAGAACAAGGGCACACACTGAAGCTTGGAACAGCATTTCATGAGTGGCTAAGAGGTGAGTGCCAAGTGTGGTTTGGTTTAGACAGCTTGTCTGCATCAGTGTGAGATAAAGACTATCAAGCTGTAAGAGCCTCTCCTGACAGGTGGCCTCAAAAACCCCATTTTCCCTTCATTTAGACCAGATGTCTGAAGCATTAGAAGTGGCTCCCATTTGCCTCTCTGCTCTGCATGAAGGGAACACACGAGCATCTTTAACCCTAAAACTGCTGCCAATGATGTCATGGTTAGAAGCACTTCTTTTCCCTCTTTCCCATCTTTTGCTAAGTGCAGCCTTTACAATTAAAGATTGTGAAGATCAGTTCTTGTTAGCACTGCAGTTGTTGCAGGAAGCTAACAGGAAATGTAAAAGGTATTAGTTTACACTGACTCATGAAACAAAGAAAGCATCTATCAGCTGTTAGTCCTAATAGTTGTTACTAGTTGGGTTGGAGCTCTAGATTTTAAGAAATCTTGTGTTTCTAAAATCGAAAACAGAAATAACATGTAAGAAAATTCAGTCTCCAGAAAAGTATATTCCTAGTGTGGCCAAAAGAGGTCAGTGAAGGCTTTTTATTTAAAATACCTAAAAGCAATATGACTAATGAGTGCATTTGTTACCTGAAATAAATGCATTTATTACCTGAACTTTGTAAGAGACATGGGAAACTCCTACATGGGTTTTGAGGATTTAGGAAAAATGAAAGATAAAAAAAAGAAAAGCTACCAGAATATTTTTCCTTTAAAATTGACTTAGAGAAGAGAAAGGGGAACCGAAATAAAGCACAAGAAAGCTGGGAAAAGCCTTGCCAATAAAGGCAAAGTTCTGTTTGTCTTTGAAACTGACTGACAATTCCTCAGCATTCTGGGACATGTATAAAGCATGTCTAGTCAAGCATCTAATATACATAATTTCACATGTTACCTTTCATATTGTGAATATAGGGAGACAAATATCTTTCTTTACCCAATCAAGGAACAAGTATTACCACAGGGAAAAGAAAATGTCAACTTACCAGGAAAAAATTACTTGATGATGCCTTAAGATGTATCTTTGTGTCTGCCAGAAGGTCATAGGCTGCAATGCGATTCCTGTCATCAACTACAACGCTGCGGCAAAGGAAACTGAGACACAAAGCAGGATTCAGGATGAGCCTGCTGGCATTGCCAAGTTGTTCAGGCTGTCACCTAGCTTCACTGCCTGGCTGTTGGGTAGCCACAGCACCTAGCCCTCCTGCTGGATCATAACTCACCTGCCTGTGGCCACCGTGGAACATGCACTGTCCTCGCCAGTGAGACACAGGATCCACCGTGTACAAACACTGCTTATCCTGGGTGGGTTGGAGCTGAAGCTCCAGATCTCAGCTCAGACACCCATTTCAGCTACTGGCTTAAGCAGGATGTGGACAGACAGCTACACCATGATGCTACCTGCAGATGTTCTCACACTGTGTAACATCGTGTGTAACTAATATTCTCCTGCCTGGGCCGTGCTCCTTGAGCTGCTAGCACACATCAGCTGCCCCTTTCCACTACTGCCATGTGCCACTGAGGATGTGAATCAGCAGCTCTTGCACACACAGTGGCAGCTGGGAAAGGCCTGATCTTAAGAAGCTATTCTGTACACTGAGACACTCATCAATACAAGCACAAAAACTATTTTACCTCCTCTGCAAACCAGAGAATGTGGAAGTTTTGCTCGTGTTTAAAGCATAGATCAGAAAAAAATGTCAGCTCAGGGCTAAGGACATTAAACTAAACTAGAGAAATATTGGCCCCTTGTTCATGATTTGCTCAAAGCCTGTGATGTTTTATTCTCTTACCATGTTTTATTTGGAATATTCAAGCTCACTGAGCTGTAAGAATGTCTGGCACAATATGTAACAAATTCTACAAGTTACTGTTGTTTACATGTACCTCACTATGTCATTGCTTGGTTTATTTTTTATCAGAAGAGGCTTGCACCTTCCTGTTTGGAAAAGATGACACAGCACCTCACTCACAATGTGACCCTTCAGTTCATGCAGAGTGCCTGCAGAAGGGATTTGCTGCATTGCTACATTAAAGCAGCAAACATGAACATGTTTCTAATGTATCATATAAACAAACAAGTATGTTCAAAACCAGCTCATGAAATGTGGGGAAAATGTGGGTGTTTTGGGGAAAAAAACCCACCCAAAAACCAATAAAATGGAAGATTTATAGCAAGAAGTTTGGGGCTCAAAGTGTTATGTAACAGGCTAAAATAAGAGCTTTCCCCAGCAATAACCTGACAAGGTCACTGCTTCACATGGCTGTGCTCTGTATCACAAACATGCTGATGAAAATGACTTTTCTTATTGAGCAATTTCATCCTGAATATCCCTAAGCCTCTATTCTGCCAAACGGTTGGTTCATGGGAGTAAAGGATGCATGTCTGTAGTCCTCTGGCACTGGGTAGGATCTCCCAAGGGCTCAAAATAAACTGAGGTGCTCAAGTGTTAAAGACAATCTCACTCGGGACAGGCAAAATCTCTTGTACAGAAACATCTACAGGAACCTCATCAGTCAACAAGGATAAAGAAGCATTTGGCTGAAGACCTTGCCTACAGCCTAACAGCCAGAGAATGACTGCACGCAGAATTTCAGAGACCTTGAAACTTTTGCTTCAGCAAATCTTGTTAGAAACAGTGGGAATATCCTTGTAAAACTGGCTGCTACATTTTTTATAGCCAAAGCCCTTGGAAACACTTTTAACTGAAGAAAAACAGTGCAGGCATCTGCAGCCAACAGTGATGCTCTTCTACTGGACTTGGAGATTAATAGTTTATAAGGATTTAAGAATGTATATAAAAAAGTAACCCTTTGCATAGGAAAACAATTCATTGAAGCAGTAGCAAAATTTAATGAGTTAATTGCACAAAGAGAATTTAAAACCTCCTCAAAATCCATAGAATCCTGCACTTGTTTTTAAGTCACTCTAGAATTTGAACAATCTACATGGTAAAATGGTGTCTAATATATAAAAAGTATAATTACATTCCAAATGCTTATGTAATCATTTAGTGATTACTCCCCAAATTCTTACCTGTATTTACAACTGTATATTCTCACTCTGCCTTCAGTGACAGGTCCAGGGCTATGCACTGTTACCTCTGCAGTGTTTATCTGATCCTCTTCATTGGCATATTCAAAAACCAGAACATAGCGACCGACTTGAGGAACATTTATGGTCATCTCTAAATTGACCTGGGTCAAAATAATTGAAAAATAAAAAACTAGTTAAATCTTTCACTCCCCTTTCTTGCAGGAAGTTCCCATTTCCTTCTCCCATTTCCTGCTCTTTTGACTGGTCAGCATTAGTCCAGGGCCAGTCCTGCAGTGTCTCAACAGAAGACACCCAGCAGAATGCAAGCAACGCTTATAAATATCACTTTGTCCTCTAACAAGAGTCAAGTAAGTTCAAAAAACAGATGCCATTATAACAGCTCTAGGAAAGCTGTAAAATAACCCTGGAAAATTACTATATTATTATTTCTCTTCTCCCCAGCAGAAACAGAAGAAATGTTATGATGCTAAAAAAATTGTCACCATCATCTCTAAGCTATCCTTAACAACGTACAAAAACTGAGTTTACTTCTCCACTGAAAAAGTATTTCCAGTAACACAAAATTCCTACTATAGCAATGCTGTATTTTGATTCCCTACAAGGAGTGAAAGCATCTTCTCCAGCAAATAATAACAGTTTGAAGCATTAAGGTTTTCTTTTAGGTTACTTGCACAAAGTGGTTAACACAATATTTGATGCAAGATACTTCTAAGTAGTTAAGTGCTGTAGTTACAAAGGTTTTGCTTCAGTTGACTACATAATTATTTTCAAATTTGAGCCATTTTTTCTCAGTATTTCCTTAGGCTACAAACAATTAAACATGTAAATAATTCTGTCAACAGCCCTCTTGACTTCACTGCAATTATTCATACCAGTAATTTTGCACATGCATCAATGATGAAGCACCAGAGCCTGTGGCATGTGAGTATTCTTGCTTCTGTACTTAATATTTTTAAAAGAAATATCCAAGTACAGTAATAGAGGTCATAATCATTTTACATCACTATACATACTTGATAAAATACCTTCCTTTTTGCCAAACACTTCCAGTAGATCTTCTCATTTCATAAAACGTGTTTTGCTTTCAAAGGACCTACAGTAGTGGCATAATTGCTTCTGCTTGTTTTTCAGTAAAGCAAACATTTTACATAAGTGTAGGTACTTTAGAAAAAAAAAAGATTAATTTAGAGTGATGTGTGTACACCATTTCTGCTGACAAATCATTATGTCATTTCTTCTGAACAAGCCTAAAGTACGCCTACACGAGAAGGATTTTTATTTAATGAGATGCTTTAGCCAGAGTGGAATGTCAACTCCAGTCACAGTTATAAATCTGCTTACTCTGATACTTTTACATAGTTTTGTGTAAAATTCAGACCTTGGTGCAGAGTCAGTTTTAGGGATGGGTTAAGGTCTGAAAATCCTGAGCTGTAAATCTGCAACCATTTTAGTCTGGTAGTTTATAGCCAACAGCACAGATGGGACTGCAGTTAGCAGGCAGGAATCTGACCTCTCTTCCACTGACATGGGCCATCACTGGCTGACTGGGAGCTGGCCGTCTCACAGGTATTCTTCTGGATTCTCCCCCGTGTCTGAAATGCACTGCCTCTGAACCAAGGACACAGGAAAATCCACCCAGAGGCAAATGCTGATAGAGCAAGCAGCTTACACAAAAAAAAAAAAAAACAAACAAAAACAAAAACCAAAAAAAACCAAACAACAAAGAAGACACAAGATTATTATTGCTTTCGAGTGCAGCAGGATGATAACAAAATAAACCAGGGCACTGGTTTATGCTGTAGCATATCTACTGACTGTTCTGCTGAAGCAGGGCTGGGATGTGTGCAAGGCTCTGTAACTCGGATCTGCAACAGGGATGCCTCATAGTAATCACTGGGTAACAGCACCATATAATCCTAGGAACAAAGAACACAACAAATGCTAAAACATCCAAACAATGACAAGAAGAACATCTCCAGGTTTTCACAACGTAACAATGAATGAAACCAATCACACGAACAATTTGTACATCTGCAAGATGTGGGTGGGGCTTTTCTTTCTGTTGGGCCAATAACATGGGAATGTTTCCCTAACCCTGTAATTTCAGAAAGTTGGTATGAAGGCATCTGCCCCCTGATCAGGGAAACTCTGAAGCCACTCTCCCATCATGTGTTGCACAGGACAGTGCACTGAAGGGAGCTTTCCTGTAGCTCAGTAACACACAGACAGACGCCTGCAGTTTTCATCCATGAGTGCAATCCACAAGCACACAACTCAACTCTGGGTGACTCCACACAAGAGATTCACGTATCTCAGATGACTTAATTAAAACACTCCATGTAACCTATTAAGATTCAAAAGATGGTAAATTTTTGTTCTGTCTTACTTACTTAAATTAATATATTAGAGCTTAAGTATAACAACTGTTAATATGAGAATATGACGGGTTAAGATAATTAACATACAGCTTTTCAAAGGTATTAGTGAAAAAATCCAGCACAATAATACTGTCACTTTCAGCAAGAAATACGTTTGCAAGCTCTTTACTAAGACTTCATGTGGTATTCCATAAATTTAACACAGCCCCAGGCTTAATGACTAGAGACACTGCTTTTTATCCCTGTACAAAATACGTAAGAATTTTAGTATGCTGTCTTTGTGATCATACACATTTAAGGTTTTTCATAAATTATCATCTCAAACAATTTCTCTTTCTCTAGTAATTTCTTAGAACTGCTGCTAGAAAATTTTTCAGTTTTTCAGTGAATGAAAGGAGAGAAAAGATAAGAGGATAAAAGCAGTCAGAAATTGACCTGCTCGTAATGCAGCCCATCTTACAACACTCTTATGAAGATTTTTTTCTCAAGAAACTAAGGCCTTGGCTGAGCTAAGCCCTAGACACAACATCTGATATGTAAAAATTACTAATTTTTGTGAGCATTTATGCTGGGTGCTGTATGTTAATAATACCTTATCATTTGAAGGTACAGATTCCAGATAGACCTGAAGTCTGTAAGGAGAAGAAAAATTAGAGCAGACGAAAGAGAAGAAATAAGAGGCAGAAGTGTAAATTTTCATCATTGTATTCTGTTCCTTTCACTAGTGCTGAATTTCACTTGCTTGCAGGGTTCTTCCCAGCAAACAACTCCAGAGCAATAACTTCATGACAACCTTCAAGCAGTTGTTTTCCTCAATTGTTTTCTTACCAAGAGGACTTCCTCTGCCATTATGCTGACAGTCCACGTGCCTGGAGCCAGTGAGAAAGGCTCTGTGGAGCTTTTTCCTGGGATTGTGATAAAAGCTGGCTCCTTGCTGGGTGGGAAGACAAACTCTTTGCTCTGAGCAGCCCCTGCCAAAAAAAAAAATCAAGTAAAAAACGTAAGTGACTGTGTAAAATGTCTCTACTTGCTTAGTGAGCTGGACTGATAATTTGGTCTATTAAACTTTGTTTGGCAGGAGTTGATCAATGCTTTTCAATCAATATGCATTAGCAATGCACTCGGACAGACATAGTGGTTGCTGTTTTCATTCTTATTACTCTTGAGCAAATTGGTACAGAAAAGCAGAGCTCTGGCCCTGTAATGACAGTTTTGCAATATTCTGAAATGGTCACTTTTTCAGTTTCTCCTTCCATAGTTTTCAATTCAACCTCTCTCTGCACTGACTCTCAACATGTTCAGCTGACAAATTTCATATACTCGTGTGACTTTAAGTCAAATACTTCAGGTATTGGAGGTTCTCAGTATCATCTAAAATGTTTACTTACAGGCAGATAACTTCTAGGCAGAGATGATGAGCCAGCTGTGGATGCCCCATCCCTGGCAGTGTTCAAGGCCAGGTTGGATGGAGCCTGAGCACCCTGGTCTCGTGGAAGGTGTCCCTGCCCATGGTAGGGGCTTGGAACTGGATGATCTTTAAGGCCCCTTCCAACCCAGACAATTCCATGACTATGTACTACAGAAACGTAGCTGTGGTGTGTTTTGTCAAATAGAAGCCACGAGGATCAGCTGTTATGAATATTTAAGGTTTTCTCTTTGAAAACCCTGGACACAAATCTGGTTCCCTGTCTCCCAGTTATTAGAAGCCAGTGATGACCACAAACTTCTGCCACTGCTGAAGGGTGTCTGTGAAGTCTTCAGTTTTGTCTTACTTGAATTCCTAAAAGGATCTATAACATTACTCCTTCAGTAAGGCAGGAATAGATAAGACATAATTCTTCATACAGGCTTGCTATCTCCCTACCATTCAAAGGATATGCAGTACTTACTTTTTATCAGGGCCTGAAAGGCATCACATGTTTTTGAGGTCTGTAATCAGAACTAACTTGCTAGATGGGGTTCATAATTTTTAACAAATCTTACTAATTGAATGAAGGGAAAAGCCACATTTAAAACTTGAATATTAAAGGCAAGTAAACCAAACAAAGTGTTGTTGCCCCTTCTTTTAAAGCTTCATAAAACCCATACATCAGGGCTTCCAAGCACAGGACTGAGAATAGTTACTATGGCAAACATTTGAAGAAACAAATATTGATTACTACTGCAAGCAGGGGTTTCATGCAAACACAGCCACATCAATTACCCAGTAAAAATGTACAAGGAGAAGCACAAAAGCACTGTTAAAAGTGATGCCTTTTAAGCAACATTAAAGACTTAGGTGCACCTTGGAAAGCCTTCTCTGATCTAACATTCATCTGAGCTGTTGCACTGCTGAGTTACACCTACCTGCTCCAGGCTGAGATTGACAAGCAGATATGCGACCAGGTAATGTTTCACCTCCAGGGTTAATATACCTCAGGATAATGCGGAATAAGTAGAGGTTTGATTTTTCCACATTCAAAGTTATCCTCACTTCATTCTGAAAAATGGAAGTTAATAAACAAAAACAGCTGTAAAGTGATGAATTGAGGAACAGTTAGAAGCCATGCAAGCACCAGACTAAAGTCCTACAAGAAAAAGGCACATGCAGACAAGTATATACTGGAATGGCAATGCTGGTGTATGACAGAGGAAGATAGGCAAGCCTAGTGAGAAAATTAATCACTTACAAGTATAATTAGTGCCAAAATGTTTTCCCTCAGCAACTGAGATCTTCCCTTTAGAGCTTTTTGAGCCCAGGCTGACATAGCGGAGGACTAGGTGGAAGAGCTTAGGGGAAGCCACAGTGATAGGCACAACCACCTCTGGCTGGGAAAAATAAAAAGAAAGGGAAAAAGGAGGAATGGAAAGTACATTACTTGTTACTAGCACCCAGCGAAAGAAAAACCACTTGGCAAAGACAAAAAGGCATAGGCAGCTTACAAAAGAGCATAGAACAAAATCTCCAGTGAAATAAAACTCTTATTGAATACCAGCTGATCCAGAAGGACACAGGATAGCTGAACCAACATGTGTTAGTGTGATACACCAACAGTATTTTACTGGCATTCTCCCCACTCATGCCATAAAGGAGGCACATGGTACCAAGGGCTGTCAACATCCCTGCCTTTCCAAGGAACAGGCCACAATCATTGATCCTAGTCTGAGATCCCACACCATGCAGACACCTCAGACTGCCACTGAAACTTCTGATTCTCTACCAGATCCTACTGTTGCTTAGAGCTGCAATACCAGGAGTGCTTTCCTTGCCCTGGGGCTGAACTGACACCCTCCTGCATTCACAAGGCCCCATTATTTAGTTTTCAGAAAATCTAAGAGACATGTTAAGGATCAGTGGTGGATTAGGAAAAAACAGGATTGGTGCAATCTCATGGGTTTGGTTTCTTTCTTTCCATCCTAAATCCTAAAGCTCCCCTCACTATCCAGTTCCCACCAGTTCACCCATCACAATCCACCTGCTGTCCCTTTCCAAGCTACTTGTGGCACAGTGTCCTCCCCACCACTGTGGTCTACTCTGTTTCCACAAATGCAAACATTTTCTCTGTTTCCCACATCTGAGAACAGAACAAAAAGCCTGTACTAAATGTCTCTAGTAAAGAAATGCAAAAAGCAGCTGAATTAGAAAGCAGGCATTAAGAAATCACAGATACCGAACAGTTGCCTTCATTTCCGAACGTGGAATAATACTGAAAATTCAAAAATTATCTAGGATAAAAAAAACCCCAGGACCAAAACAACAAAAGATGAAAGACTGAAAAATGAAGAACATCAAGGAAATCAATGTGCAATGGTTATTTTGTCCCATAACTGTGCTTTTGTCCCATGCTATGGTGATTCATTAGTCTCTAGACAAATAGGGGCTGGACACTACTATACCAAAGCACTACTTTCAAGATGAGTGAACAAATCCCATTTATTATTCAAATCTACTGTTTTAAAATTCTGCTTCATTTGATCAGCAGTTCAATCCAAAGTCAGAAGGGCCCTTCTCAAAGAAATTATGGTGACTGTCTACCTGTGATTTATTTATTCCCTCAGCTGCTCTTTAGTTTATTCAGTCTGTCATGAAACTCAAATTAATGTTGCCAATATAGCCCTGCTCAAAGCTTCCTTTACTGAACCACACATTTTCCTGGTTGCTGTAATGTGAAGGTGTCATAATGGACACAGACTGTCACAGACCTGTGTAATTCAAATTATTTAGTCAAGCATTAATCTTCTGCTGTTCCCACTGTTCTTGGCATGGCAAAAATTTCTGCACTTAGTATCACAGACTTTAAAGCAGTAAGTTCCCTCTTCACAGCTGCCTCACAAAAAAAAACAACCCCAAAGAACCTTTCTGAAGAATGTATATTTGCACAAGCACTGTGCAAATGACATGACAAAAATACCAGCTCTCACTAATTCAAACAGCAACATAGTGCCAAAGGGTTTGGATTAGTCAGATCCTGTCCTTTTTTCTGTCTTTTTTCCATGACCTTCCACACATATAGCAGTACTATAAAGACATATGTGCCATGCACTTTTGTTTTCATTTTCACCTCGAAGTCTTGAGCGAAATACCAGCTTACTTGTATAGAGGACATCTGTGCATATCCTCTCCAACTGAAGCCAGGAAATTCCTGAGGATCGTAGCCAAACCGAATTTTCTCTCCTTGGACAGTAGTCCCATCTTCAATCTCAAACTTCATGTGGTGCAGATCAGGAAAAAAATAGTTTTGTTCAGGCCTTTCAAGGAGAAAAAAACCACAACAAATCAGCAAAAAATTACCAGTCATTTATGATCTACATCTAAGGGCAAAAAGCAGTGGAAGGGAGGTGATCTACTGATGACTGAGGAATTCTGACAGCAGCTCACAGATTCAAGACAGCTG